AAAAAAAACAACATGTAAAAAAAGGTTTTTAAAACCCCCCCCCCCCACACGCATATATATATGTATATATATATATAACATGTAAAAAGAGGTTTTTAAATCCCCCCCCCCACACGCATATATATATATATGTGTGTGTGTGTGTTTATATATACATTCTGCAATTAGCTTTAAGTGTTGATGGTGATTTTCTTTGGATTAATCACAGTTTAGTGAAAGACTCTGTATCTATTATCTCCTAATTGCGAAAAAGGGTTTGCAATTATACAATCAAAACTCAAAATTTTCTCGGCAGTTAGTAGGATTTACTTCCCCGGGAAACCAAGAAGGAAAATTCCCCAAGACAAAACAAAGAAGCAAACCCAAAAACAAAAGGAAAAAGAAAAAGGGAAAAAAAAAATGCTTAGTGGCTTTGTTCGCTTTCTTTCACTTTCTCTCCCTCGCCGTCTTCTCCACTCTTGTCCCCTTCACCACCGCCACCATCCTCCGAAATTACCATTTTACCCTCGTGACCTAATCCCTTGTTCGCCGGCGTGGCCAGGAACCTCGGCAAGTCTTCTCCGGCCATTATGACGAGAACCTTCTCCTCGTACGCCGCGTTCGCCGTCTTCTCTCCGGAGCGGCTCTCCTTCTCTCCGCCGTCTTCGTTGCCGGAGACTTCGCCGGAAGCCCGCCAGTACGAGCAAGCAAGGATGAGGAGAGCGAATGCGATGAGGCCGAGCATCGCCGCGAGCCCGCCGAAGAGGTACGGCACCGGCGAGTGCCACGGCGACTGGGGACTCGCCGGAGATGCTGACGTGGCTTTCACCGCGACTTCGACCGACGTCTGTTTCACGCTCAACGTTCTCATCTTTTTTTTTTTAAATAAAAAACTCTCTATTTTGTTTTTCAGGTTATAAGAAAATAAAAATAAAAAACGGCTGAGGGATGAAAGAATGTGAAGGGTGAGGAGTTTGATTTATAGGTAAGAAAAATGCTTGCGAAAAAAGAAAGCGAGACTGCCAACAGGAAAAAAATATATAAATTAAGCAAAATTCATAAAAAGGATTTTGTTTCACTTAAAGGTTACTTGTATTATTTTTGGACTTCCTTTAACCGGAATAGTGAGAACTTTCCGTGTATATATATATATATATAGATATAGATTGTATTATCTATATTGTTTTCATTATATTTTAATTAACTTTGATTTATCAGCCGTTTCATGTAATTAAAAGCATATACTACTCTAGTACCATACAAAATCACATGAATATATATGTATATATATATGGGTTGCAACATCAAATATTACTTCTTAGGATTACGAATCCAATATCGTGGTACCATTTTTCAATTGTTCTATTGGTCGGTGCCATTTCCCGTGGCAAATGATTTAAAGATATGACCCAAAGGTGAAACTGTGAACATTATGACGTCATCTATTTTTCATTTTAACGAAAGAAAACTGCTAGTTCTGCTTTTAGTTTAAATCTCTATCTGGGAGGAAAATATTATGCGAGTTTTTAGTTTTATTTTATCTCAAATATGTTTTGAAGCAGTTATTTGAATAACACTTGTTTCATGCATATATGTTTAGTTAGTTTATATCAAATTCGACCAATATTTGATAATGAAAGAATTTAAAACGAATCAATAAATTTAAAACGAATATATTTTTTCGTTATCTTAGACGGCGTTTCGGTTTTAAGCTTCGGTTCGATTTTTGTACAAAAGACAATATCTAACAAATACACACACATATATATATATATATATATAAAATATAGACACACTTTTTCTCTTTGGTTTATCCACATTTAATAATCAAAGAAAAAGGAAAGGATGCACTGGGGGGACATATAATCCGTACATAGACAGAGGCATATTATGATATTGATGCACCGCGCGTATATATGTGTATGTATATATGTTGGCAGTCCATTTCAACCACTGTCGAGGGTACAGTGAAAGAGCACTTTGGGGGCATTTCGTATCGTGGGAGATGACAATGTTTTGCACAAAAATTGTTGGGAAATGAAAAATTGTGGGTAAAGTCCGAACAAAGCCATCGTGGCTTTCTCTTCAATCTTCGATTGGTTGGTTGGTGCTTCAGTTTTAATGTGAATGTGAATGTATCCAATGCTATATATCGATCGTCTCTCTTATATAATTATAATAGCTAGGGTTAATGATTATTCCACTTTTGCATCATAGGATATGGATACAGATTATTATGATTTGGATCCATTGTTTAATTTTGTGTTATATTTATCAACCCTTTTCGGTTTTTTGGATACCCGGATATCGTAGACCAAAATCCAAACTAATTTTGGGATCAGAGCCAGCCATATGATTTAGAATATACGTTCCGTCCCCAAATTTGAGGTTCGAACTCGAAGCGGGATATACACTTTGCACTCTCGTTTCACCAGTTGAACTACTGAACTTCGGGTTCTTTTCGGCTATTCATTCATATGTTATATATATATATACATATTGACAACCATTACCATGTTTTTTTTAATCAAAAAACGTACATATTGACAACCATTACCATGTTTTTTTTAATCAAAAAACGTAGGCATATACATAAAGAATAGAAAGCACCTCCTCGCAAAAAAAAAAGATAAATAAAATAAATCCATATGATATGGTAATTGGATCTATGTATTTTTATAATTTACAAAAATAATAAAATAATAATAAAATCTCATATAAATACTTCAAATTTGTAAAATATATCAAAAAAATATCTAATTTTTTAATTTAATCTAATTGATATCTCAAATATTAAAATGTTACAAATTGATATCTAAAATGTTAAAATGTTTAAAACTAATACTCCAATTCACGAAATCGAAAGCAATTTACAACATTAATTCGTTTTTTATGATAAAAAAATTATATCGGCGTTAGAGATTAAAAATTATAACTGATTTTATGAGTTATATATCCATTTAGAATATTAATTTAAAATATTTTAACATTTAAAATATAAATGATTAAATTAGAAATATTTATTTAGCATATTATTGGAGATTTTTTTTTCTAAAATAAATAATTTTCATCGTTGCCCCATGTTTCGTCAGCTCCCACTTCTACTCCCTCATTCCTCATTAGTTGAGGGTACATTTTTGCACGGAAAGTCTCCTATTGTTTTTCCCTTAATTCATCTTTATTAACCCCCTTATATATATATATATATATATATATACATACAATAGCAACCAATGTAGAAAGAAAAAAAATACTTAAAATATCTTAGCAGTTTGACTTATTTATTTAAAAAAATAGAAAAATTAATATATATTATCATTTTTTCAAATAAAATACTATATAAATATCAAGTTTACAGGTAACTCATATATATATATATTAAAATTTGGAGAAAAATTTATATTTTCGGGATTTACTTTGTCTTAAGAACACAATTTATTAACAAAACATTAGAAAGAAATTCTAAAACGTTCATTAGGATCGAATTTAACATTCAAACATGATGTTACTATCATTATTACGATTTATCAAAATTTGGTGAAAATACAGCTGCAGTCGGTACTCGAATTCATTGCGTTTTGTTTTTGATGATGTTCCAAACAAATTCAATAAAACATATGTTGTTCAATCCATCCATATAGTTTTAATTAAAAAATATATTGTGATAAATAATGTCAAAGTGATGATTAATGATTAATGATGTTCATTATGGCCTTAATTTATGTGTATTATCTTCCTTACCTTGTCACTTGTCACCTTTATTCTCCATCCATTGACATATTTTATACAACATAAGCTAATTGGTTTGTCCAATGAATCATCAGCATAATTTTTTATAAGAATTTTATGTTGTAATTATGTTTCATCTGGTTTAAGTATTTAAAAACCGATCGATTTCTTATTATTTAATTAATTATTCAAAATTAGAGATACGAGCAAAGAATCTTCCATTAAACATGTTAAAGTTGTTCACTCGAATTTCTTTTGTTTTGAAAATATTAGTACGTTTAATTAGAGAATATATAATATTATAATTTATACAAACAGATAATATACTTTATATAGTTTTGAAATTATTTATGCAATATCCCATATGTTTGTTGTTGTTCACTTTACGAAAGGGCAACTTGGACTTTAAATTCTCCTCAAACTTTTTTATAATTTTATTATTTTCATTAAATAAAATAAAACAAGTAGTAAAATCTTACCCTTGGATTTCCTTATAACATTAATTAATTAATTAATTTTATTTTGGGTGGATAATCAGATTCCACTTTCATACTTTGAGCGGACTTCTCTAATTTGTGACTTTAATTCCATTTTATTCCCAAGGAAAACATATTTATTTCGTTATGATAAAAATTGTTGGCGCATAAAAATAACATATAATGACGATGTGACAGTCTACAGAGAATGTGCAGGCGAAATTGATAGGATAATCAAGGGTTAGTGCCCGTGATTTTTATAATCAATTCGGAAATAAAGATATGATTTTAATTTAAATGCCAAGGACACATTCGAAATTGGGTTTGGAAGTGTTTGATGACGTAGGTAGAAACCTTTTCTTCTAGATAAGGAAGCGAACACTTTAAATAATAATAATAAAAAAATTGCTCGATATTGATATATTTGCATCTCGGTTTTATATTCTTTAAAAAATAATTTTATTTTTTATACCCAATTTCAGTTCCATTCCTATTTGATTAGAATTAGATTGAATTCAGTTTTTATTAAAAAAAAATGTTTTATAATTTTTCTTCTTCTTTTTTCAGTTTGTTTTAATGGTGAGTTCGGATTATATTAGTTTGGTTACAACAATTCATATTTCATATCTTTATATATTACACACACACACACACACATATATATATATATATATATATATATGGTAAATGTATACATATCAAATACCAAACTTTATAAAACCTTAATGTATAAAATTTAAATTGAAAATATAATAGTATAAAATTAATTGTTTTTTTTTATAAAAGGCTTTTATAAAATTAATTGTTATGAGTTTAGAATTAGACCTATAAAATATTATCGAAGAGTGACCGCACCGTATTGTTTTTTTTTTTTTAAATTTACATATTACTTTATTTTGTTTCGTTTTCTTAAATACTATTAAAAATTTTAGTACTTATAATATTAGAAATTTTAATCAATCAAACTGCGTACAAATAATATCTAATTTGTTAATAATAATAGTAATTGTTAATTTAAAACACGCTTATATATATTAGACATAAAATCTGAAAATTTCCTCATCACATTTTTCAGCGTGTATGCAATCATCCTTAAATTTGTATGATATCAACGCAGAACTATTTTGTTAGTAGAAAATTAAAATATTATTGGTCTATATTATATATCAGATAATCCCCTAAAACATGTATTATTTCTAATATAATTAACGATTTCAATGGATTATGTTGTTTTAGATATATAGTCTTGAAAAGTTTCGAACTCTTAGTCCACTATATCTTTTAAATCACAGAACAAAATCTATACATATGTACACTAAATCTTATGGTTACACAAGTGGATATATCATATCAACAAAAAAAAGAAAAAAGATTTAACGTGCTTAATATATGCTTCCTCCGAATTAACAGATTTGATAGGGCACCACCATGTTTTGCCTCACCGAGATTTGATTTTTATTTTTTATCCTAAAATATATTCTGTCTTGGGGTATATCATACACAATCATATTATTTATTCCATTAAAATCGAATTTTAATGGTTATTTTTAAGATCGGTTATTTCAGATTTTGTCATGGTTTCAATTTAATTATTTAAATTTATCAATTTTAAAATAATCACACTAATTCGATTTTTTATTTGTCAAAACATATAAGTTTTTATGAAAAAAGAATTATTTTATCAAGAAAAATCTTTTTTTTTTCTAAATTTGTTTTCATTAAAAAAATCATATTAATGAATTGTTTTCAACATATAATATTCTAATTATTTGTTATTATTCACATCTTAAGTTCATTCATTTTAATATTCTTTTTAAAACATTTTCTCTCTCATAAACGCGCACACATTAAGTAGACACCACTACAATCGACATATGGAAGCGATTGGAGTGCTATCATGTCATGTTCGTGTCTCCGAATAAAACAGATGAAAAAGCTACATATATATATATATATAGGTAAAAATGTGAAAAATATTTTTATCTATTTTATTATGAGAAAGACGGCGATAAATATTTGGCTTTTGACTCCTTTGAAATTACCATAAAGTATAAACGAAACAAATAGATTTGCTATCTGCAACTCTTCTAATTCATCACATAATAAATACATAAAATACCGCAATATATACACTCCCAATACAATCCGTTGGTACTCAACAAACCCATAATTTCACTTAATTTTTCTTCACTACCTATAAAGATTCTTTCGCATCTTAATTTTTCTGTATGTCACAAATCCCACATCGGAGAAACTCGTGGCATTTAAATGCATTATAAATAAGAGACACTCGTCAATCCCGGATAAGTGGATTGGGGCCCACACGAGGCTGCATAAATAAACTAAACCCTAAACCTTGCCTGGTTGTTTAGGGCGGTTCTCGGATACTCGTGGGGATGTTAGGCCTGCGTTTCGCCCCCCTTTGAATCGAAACGCAGACGCCTCTATGAGTCTTCGTGTGGTGTATGGGCCTGGGTTTGGGCTTGCAGGTGGTGATTGTCGGCGTCAGGATGACGTCACCGCCGTTCACCGTTGTCCTCGCCAACCCAACCACTCCACAAATTTTTTTAAACAGTATTAAATTGTATCCAAATAACAGGGGAGTGGGCCCACACAAGACGCGGGTTAGAGTCCAAATCTTTTGGATTTAGGATATGACAATCGTTTTTTTTTAAAATGTGGTGGTTAGTGTTTTTTTCTCTCTATAGAAATTAGAGTTTATTTCTATGTACGAATTATCTTAAAATTACAATGTTTACAGTCTAATCAAAACCCTAATTTTAGAATATTTCGGTGTTTTACACATCCAAGTGATTGGATCCGAATTGTACACAATTCGGCAAGAGTAATATCTCTCCAAGAACTTCAACTCCATCCGAGCAACACTTACTCGGTCGAGTTGGCCTCTAAATACCACAATTCACACGTTTAATATTAGACTTGGCACATCAGATCGACGAAGCTTGAATTGATAGAAAAAGAGAGAACACGAGAGAGGAAAAAATTTCTCATTTTCTCATATGAACAAAAACAATATACTGTGCTGTATTTACACAACTACAATCGTAACTAATCGTAACTAAATCTCTAACCAACTCGTCTGCTAGCTAAGCACGATGTCAAAATGGGTCGGGTTATGCGGGTTAACCCGACCCAACCCGATTATTGACCTAAATAGTTTAACCCATTTGAATAATTTTTTTAAATGGGTTAAGTGGGTTTTAACCCATTCAACCCATGGGTTAAATGGGTTAAACCATTTAACCCATTAAAACCCACTATATTATCAACATTAACATTTATATTAACCCATTCAACCCACTATATTATTATATAATAACTAAAATTCTTATATATAGATATATAAATAGTAATATACGTTGTATATATATTTAAATATATATTATATATGTACGTATATATAAACATATATATGTATGCGAATTAAAAAATATAATATCGGATTGAAAAGTTTGCTATCGTTTTTGAATCGAACCGAAATATTTGGTATCGTTTTTGAACCGAACCGAAAAAATTGGCACCGTTTTCAAATCAAAACGAAAAAAATTGATATCGTTTTTGAATCGAACCGAAAAACTCGTTACCGTTTTCGAATCGAACCATACCAAAAAGTTTAGAAATCTGATATCCAAAAAATCGGTATCGTTTCCGAACAACCAAAAAAATCGATAATGTTTCTGAATTGAACCAAAAAATTTGTTACCATTTTCCAATCGAATAGTACCGAAAATTTCAAAAACCCGATATTCGAAAAATCGGTACCATTTTTGAACCGAATTGAAAAAATCGATATCGCTTTCGAATCGAAAAAATCGATATCATTTTTTAATCGAACCGAATCGAAAAAATCGATATCGTTTTCGAATCGAACCGAATCGAAAAAATCGATTTCGTTTTCGAATCGAAAAAATCGATTTCGTTTTCGAATCGAAAAAATCGATTTCGTTTTCGAATCGAAAAAATCGATTTTGTTTCTGAATCGAACAAAAAAATTTGTTACCATTTTTGAATCGAATAGTATCGAAAATTTCAAAACCCCGATATTCGAAAAATCAGCACAATTTTCGAACCGAATCGAAAAAATCGATATCGTTTTCGAATCGAACCGAATCGAAAAAATCGATATCGTTTTCGAATCGAACATAATCAAAAAATCGATTTCGTTTCTGAATCAAACCGAAATAATCGATATCGTTTCCGAATTGAAACGAAAAACTTATTGTCGTTTTTTAACCGAACGGTACCAAAAAAATTGATAATCCGATATCCGAAAAGTCGGTATAATTTTCAAATAGAATCCGATATATATGTGTACGAACTAAAAAAAATATCTCAAAGATTATTATGTTTAAATGATAATAAGTTTATTGTGAGAAAATTAAATGGGTTGATTAGGTGGTTATGGGTTTTATGGGTTAACCCAACCCATATAACAATTATTATTGGGTTGACCCAACCCAAACCTATAATTTTTAAAACCCAAATGGGTTGGGCCTAAATGGGTTGGGCAACCCATATTGACATCACTAAGCACCAGCTAAACATAATGAAATTGTTAATTTATACTTAATATTTAAGTATCCAACCCTTGATATATATGACCGTGTATCTTCAATGGCTATAGCACCGAAATCTATGAATATGCTACAAGTACTATCCATAATTTGAATTATGTTAGAAGTGATCTTACGGTAGGTAATGATAGATCAAACATTTTATCTTTTTGTTTCATTATACCATATGTTGAACACAAGGTATAGAGTCAACCATCTTATCAGGTCGGATCGCTTTCTCGTTCGTTAAGTCAATTGAAAATTATAGATGACACTCATCTATAGGCACAATCATGCATTTGCACAGACCGACTTATACGCGGGACATGATCCTCAAAAGCATCGTTTGATTTCCATAAAACTACTATTGTTTTCGATATATGTCATCAAAACAAGTAAAAACCATAAAAATAATATATGGGCTTTAACAAAAAAAAATATATGGGCATCCTCAATTCGACATTGTCACATTCATTCAGGGCATTATCCAAAATATCCTCCTTTTGCTAAAACTACTTCTGCACATACCCTTCTCCAACTGTGACATTGTGATCAGAATTCATATATGGTCACATGATGGTCACATTGATCATAACGTTAAATTTATGGTGATTATATCAAATCACCATGGTCACACCTTACATATCACATTAATCATTTGGTAAAATCATCAAAAATCTAACGTTGTGACCATCATGTGACCATACAATTATTGTGGTCATAAAGTCACAACTGGAGAAGGGTAGATGCAGAAGTAAGCATAAGAATGATATTTTGGATATTTTGCCTATTCGCTCATACAATGTGTAACATTCATAAAGTCTTAAACTACTGAAGTAGTAACATATATATGATTGCACAAAATGTAATTAATAACCCAATCTCATGCTTAATTATTCCTTATTAATTAACGAATATTTTCGGTCAGACGTATGTATGTATGTGTACGCCTTCAATCTATGATGAGCATTATTGACTTCATCATGCATGCAAAATGGTGATGATTACCGTTTTCATTAATTAAATCTCATCACAAATAATTAAACGGCGTACCAAATGATTACCGGCGGATAGCATGTGTTAAGATTCTCTTTTATATGACATACCCATACACTTGCAAACAAATCTAACATATATACATATGTATATATATACATATATGTGTGTATATATATAAGATTAAAGGGTCGTGATCAAATCTAACTCATCTTCAATGGAAACTAAAGTATTGGCATTCTTCATTCTCATCCTCACTCCACACTTGACAAAATGTGACACATCACTAACTCTGCAAACCCAAAACATAAACGTAACTCTCAGAAAAGGCAATGCCATTCAACAACAGTTCCTTCAACCCCACAACACGTTACGAGCCAAGCTCGGTCTTCCGCCTCTGAAATGGAGCAGGAGCCTTGCCGCGTACTCGTACCGATGGGCCAAAACCCGTCTCACCGACTGCGAGTTGATACATTCGCATGGCGATTTCGGGGAGAATCTATTCTGGGGAAGTGGCAGTGGCTGGAGTCCACGAGATGCGGCGGTTGCATGGGCCTCGGAGAGGAAGAACTATGACTGGAGGAGTAATCGTTGCAAGCCGAATCGAGATTGCTTGCATTACACGCAAATGGTTTGGAAGAATAGCTTGAGGATTGGTTGTGCCACTGTTGTATGCAAAACCGGTGACACTTTTGTCATTTGTGACTATGATCCTCCTGGTAATGTTGTTGGTCAGAAGCCATTTTGATTCATATACTCAAATTGTAATAATTCCGTACATTGTGGGGTCCGATGTGCAACTATAAAAATATGGGTATCAACTAGTGAATAACGAGAAATCACGGGTACCGTTTGTAATTGTTAAACAATGTTAAATTATATATTAGCGAGTTAATTAACTAATATTAGGCATAAAGCACATGGCAGACTAGCAGGTCAAACGTCGCTGAAAGCCTTCGGCGCCGGGATATCATGCACTCGACACTGAAATCCCCGTTTTGCCCCCCCTCCAAGCGCCACGTGGCATCTGGCGGCAACTACGAAGATCTAGTCGTCAGCTCCCGTCACGTTGAACGGCGGACGTACGACCTGCCGCGGGAGATACTGTCCACTCACGTAACGCCACGTGTCGTCTTCCGGTGAACACACCTTCGCAGCTTTTTTTTTTTTTTTTTTTTGCTTTTTCCAACTGTATTATCTTTTTTTGTTTAATTTACGTTCAGTTTAAATTTAAAAACCAATTAGGTTCAATTTTATTTTTAATTATTTCGTATTAAATTAATTTAGTGTTAGAAAAATCATTTCGAATCGAGTTTTAGATGGGAATCAAAAGAAAATAGAAATGTTATGTTAATAAAAAAATCAAACGAAGAAATGTTGAGTTTTATGAAATTAGAGACTTGGGGATAATGGTCAAAGCGATTAGACAATCCCACTGCAGCAGCCCATGTAAACATTTTCTTTAACGTCTCGATGTTTTTCCACGGTGAAAACGATACGCAGTTTGTGTTTCTAAATGCTTAACAACACAGCGTCCATTGCAATCGTGTAGCCTTTTCCTTAGTGGCGTGGTCTGTGAGACAGATGTATACCCACCCTAAGTTTATAGCATAATAAATTTGTACTTGGGCCTTAATCTTATTTGGAGCCTAATTATATATATAAGAAATTGGGCCTTTAGGCCCATTATCTTATGGAAGGGTATTGGGTCCACACATTTAATTTAATTAATGCTTATGACAATTTGTTCAGTAACATGGATAAGATTAAGATTGTTCACATTATTTATTATCTTTGCTTTTGTGTTTTTGTCTCTTGCTTATATATATATATATGAAAGTATTGCCGTTTTTATTATTTTAATTCACCTACCATTACATTTCCTTCATATGTTAAATGATAAATATTCAAATGATCTAATAATATCTCTCCACACACACACATATATATATATATATATATATTAGGATTGATGTATATATAATTATCTCTTATCCTCAAATAAATTATCATGTCGTCATAATTCATCATCAAACGCTTCTAAGGTCTCAACTTCGTTATGTTGTCTATTTTTTTTTTAATTTTAATTTAATTTGATCTCAACCAGAGATGTCACAATCTCTACCAACCGTCAGATATTCCCACTACTCCATAATAGACGGCAAAGATCTCAGCTTGTCCTCCATTTCAGATTCTTTTATGACTAATAAAATCATCAACCCTTGCAAAGAGAAGAATCTCGGCTATATATAGGCGAAGGGGAACGTGGGAAGGAGCAGAACCAGCAGACTAACTCCGTGAAATATACAGCGTACGCCGTTATAGTTCCGTTAACTATTATTGAGTGATAGTTAACGGCGTCTTTTTCCATCCGTCTTCCGAATGTTTCTCTCCCTCCGTACACCAAAAGAACATTTTTCTCCCGTTTAGTTCGCAAATAAAATATTAATCTCGATTAATAATCAGTTTAATTAAAATAATCGAGCTCAGATGATTGTAAAGTTTATAGAAGTGATATTATAAAATAAAAAAATAAAATATTGAGTTTTTTGGTGGATTTGAGATGTTGATTTCGGTAATTATGGAATTGAAATACTATTAATATATATAACTAACCATGCACTACTAAAATGTCAATATTTTCAAATATAAAAATGTATACACTCCATTTTCTTATAGAGAGTGAATATTATATTTAAATAATAATTCTTTTACAATCAGAATTTGTGGACCGCTAGTTTAATCATTGGACTCACTACATTCATCATACGTATAAGATTCTAGCCATATTTTCGATTCTCATACTTTGATATTTTCTTGTATAAAGCTAATAATATAACATGCCTAGCATATATATCTATGTTATTCCAAGAAATAAAATTAGATCAAGATAAAAACTTTGGTGTATATTACAATGATGATGTATAGGTAATAAAATAGATAATTCGTAATTCCATGCATGCAGATGCTGGTAAACAAATACGTCATGATTCCAAATTATAAATATAACTCTTTTCAATATTTCCTACTAATTAAGAAATAAATAAACAAAATATTCAGAAGGGTTAAAGTTTTATTTTGTTGATTTAAATAACGAAAATATATATGATTTTCTTGTGGTTTTTCATGTCTCTAGTTCTTTGATTATTTAATAAATTGATAATATCTAAAACCTGCTAATTTATACAACGTTGGTTTCGGATGCTCCTGGTTGCATGGAGACCACTAAGTTTCATGCACACACATATATATTAATATATAAATATATAAATATATATTCCTTTTATCCGTTGACATAAAAAATGATTCGGCTTAATCCAAGTTTTCAGCAATGGTTACGAATAATTCCGTGCATGATTAAATGTTTTGGTTGACTTGTCAGTTGTCATGTATAATGTAAATGTACATAAATATATATATATATATATATATTATAATTGACGTTTGAAAAGATTATTGATTTATTAAAGTTGGAACCCAATGAAGAAGAAAAGGTGTAGAAGGGAAGACAAAAACGCTCTCAGAATTGTTCTGACTTTGAAAGCTTTGGTCTTTTCTCTTGTTCATGTTCTAATTTGCAGGTAGATAGAGGACCAAGAAGAAAGGTAAAAGCCTTGAATTTTGAATTATGATTCTGATTACTGATATGGGCTTTATTTATTATAAGAAAAAGAGCTCAGCTTCTGAAAAATAAACTCCTTTTTTTTTTTCCTTGTGAGTTCATTATGAGGAATTTTGTAACTTTGTCTCCGAGTAATTCGACGGGGCTCTATATGAATTTGAATGTTCTGGGTTGAATTTGTGGGTTATTGATTTCTGGGTTTCTGGTGTTTTTTTGGAAATTATTATGTTGTTCTTGATTCTGAAACATGTGGTGTAATTGCTTCTTCCCCCTTTATTTTTCCCTGTTTCTGGGAAAAAGGAGGAAGCACTGTTTGTGAGTATATATATCTCTGTGTTGTTTCCGGATGCCGCTGAGGTTGATTACATAGAAAGTACAGAATCTGGAGAAATTTTGAGCACGAACACTCAAACTTTTAAGGTTTCTCCTCATTTTCGTACCTTTGATTGTTTCTTTTCATGGTGGTTTGTGATGCTCTTTGAGGATAAAATCTTGTTTTTGTGCAACCTGGGAAATGTTTTGTGGTTGATGATGTTTGCAAACTTTGGTCGTTGAGACCCTTGGAACTTGGAAGCACGGTTTAGGAAGATAAGACTGTAGGAGTGATAGATGTTAGAATTCACATTTCCTTCTATCCATGCCTTGGTACTTTGTAGAACCTATGCTTGGAACATTATGTATTGGTCCTCTACTGGCTTTTCTTACAGGCCTTTCCATATCTTCCTCGTTTCTGTTGGTGATATTGCTGCCATTTTTCAGAGTTCATGGATAGATGCTTGGGTAAAAGAGCCATTGAAGGGAGACCAGAGCCTAAAAAGGGTGGTGGTAGTATTGTTTTGAGAGACAGATTTAACAGCCCTGCTCCTATTTGCGGCAGAGTCGGATGCAGCGCTGGAAACCCCCCCGGGAAATGTAGTACTTGGATTGGCTCTTCAGACAGAAAAGAGAAATCTATGTTGTCTTCATCATTCCGTTCTTCATCAAACGGGAAGGAAATAATCGGGGCTTCCTCTAAACCCGGTCGCTCTCTGTCCTCTTCCACAAGAAATGAGAAAAAACCGGTGATGTCTCAGACAGCCATGGATTCATCGGAGAGTAGCGCTAGCAGTGAAGAAGAGGGAGATGCACAAATCTTGGATGATTCCCTTGTGAAAAACAAGAAGAGGGTTCATGAAAAATTTAAATCAACTGAAGCGGAATGCTCAAATTTGAGATCAAGTTCGAGGATAAGGAGAGGTTTTAGACCGAGATTTGGATTGAACAATCAAGATTTCTGTCCTGGTCCCTCTAGCCAGGCAGCATCAGCAAACACCATAAGCAGACATGGTTTGAGAAACAGGAGCTGTAGGCCGATGTTATCATCAGGTGTTATCCCATCTGGTTTCGGCTTAGAAAAAACACCAAATCACAGGGTAGACAAGATTAACACAAGAAAATCTTTTGGAGAAAGCAGTTCTACCTCCTCCCCTTCCTCCAGGGGGAAGAATACAAATGACCCACCATCAGAAGAAAAATGTGATGGTTCTAATCTGAGAATATCTGTTTCCGATAATAGGCGTGCAAGAAACTTCATTTCAAACAGAAATGACGATGCTAATTCAGTTGGGACCCAGAGATCAGCAAACGCTTGTGATTATCGTGCTAGGTCCTCCACCCGAGAGTGTGGTAGAAATGGGCTATCCTCCATTACAATTCCAGAGATGTCTCACCCAGAAACCTCAAATCATCTCGACTCTCTTGTCTCTTTGGAACTGTTCCGTGGTTTCCCAGACGTCGGGCTCCCAGTTTCCTTAACGGGTCAAGACACTTTCCATGCGTACAATCTTGATGGGATTTCTGAGGTACTATCACCTGAATGCTTAAACTTAAACTGATACATTGCCTGAGAAGATGAGTAATGCTCATGGCGAATGCCTTAACACCATAAGCTTTTGTATTTTCCTGTGCTAGAATTCTTTGCAGATACTACCAGAACTCAACAGGATTGAACAGGATATCGAGCTTAATTACGAGGTGAAACTAATGTATGTCTTTTCGGGTATCTGTAAATGTGATGTGTGTTTTACCCTTGTTTTCTCCCCATCATTATGCAGGACTTGCTTGTAATGGAGACAGGACTACTACTTGGTGGCCTAAGCTTCTATGATCGTCACCGGGACATGAGGCTAGACATTGATAACATGTCCTACGAAGTCTGTGTTCTTTCGCTAGAATTAAACACATGTAACTGTATGAGGCTTACCCTTTGTCTTCTCTTTTGATAATTCACAGGAACTATTAGCTCTCGAAGAGAGGATTGGTTCAGTGAGCACTCCACTCTCTGAAGAAGCTATATCGAAATGCATGAAAACGGGCATCTATCTGATAACATCTTTGAATGATAAACCGAACATTAGTTCTTGCGGATACAAGGACGAGGCTAAATGCAGCATTTGCCAGGTTTCTCATAGTCATTTTACCTTTCCAGAGTTTAGATGGTTATAAGCATTTTATAATGAACACAGAAAATGAATAAGCTTTAGAATTGAATCTGCTTTGAAGAAGCAAGGCAATCTTGGCCATTTCAAAGATGACACATGAAATTCATCATTCATTTATATTTCTTTTGCTTTACATGAAGCTGGTATCTCTATGATCCATAGGAAGAATATACAGTAGGAGATGAAGTTGGGAAGCTACAATGTGAGCATATGTATCATGTGGGTTGTGTGAAAGAATGGCTGAGGCTGAAAAACTGGTGCCCTGTTTGCAGAGCCTCTGCAGAACCCTCTTCTCCACAACTGCCATTGTCATCTTCTTCTTCATCATAATCTGGATTTGGCTGAAGCTACTGAACAAAGGTGTTTTCATCTGTACAGATTGGCCTTGTCCCTTCTTTGTACATACAAAACCTCACCTGTGTTGCAGTCTTGTCTGGTGCACATGATGCTACAGTTCAGTGTGAATAAATTCATGACAAGTGTAACACTTGACACAATGTCTCGTTGCCTGTTTCTTTCATGCTGGTATATGCATAAAATCAGGGGTACAAACTGGCAACCCTTGATCTGTAATATTATGTGAATCACTGGGAAATTGTTGAAAGCAACAAAGGTTAGTTCTTTGGATCTTTGGAATGCCAAATCTTCTTTAGCATTCAAGTTTTGTGCAGTGAACTCCATAAGAGAAGCCAAGAAACACAGTTCTGTTGCCTCTTGACATATCCCTACGTATCTCCTATCCAACTGAAAACGAAAAGACCAACAGAGACGATTTCAGACGAGAAATCAACCTCTGCAATAACTGAAGAAGACAAGAAAACATGACCTCGTTCCAGTGTTAGAAACACATAATTACATAATTTTCTAGATATGTTTTCTTTGCTGACGCTAAATACCAGGAAAGCTATGTCGTACTTCAAGAAAAAAAGCTTATAAGCTGCAGAAGAAATGTAGAAATTTTTACCTTTTTAAGCTTTTGGTTCTGAAACCTCCAACTGTCATGGCATCTTTACTGTATAAAACAGCATTGAAGTTCGTTCACAAGCTCTTCTCCTTAGACACAAGCAGGAAGAAGTCCCAGAACAACTTAACAGAAAACAGCCCACAAAGTATCCTGCAGCTATTAATAGGTTGCCTATAATTCTTTTGGGGATTGAGAGTCACCGAAAACAGACAAGATACCACTTTGAAAATAACTCTTCCTTGAAATGAAAAAAAAACATGAAATGTCAAGTGGGTGTCAAATGTGTTATTAAGATATGAATTCTAAAACAATTCTAAAACTAGGTTACATACAGAGCAATACTGCAGCTATTACATGATTGCACAGTATCCCTGCAAAACTTACTCAGATTTCTTTATTGGCTTAGTGTTACACAGAAAGATTGAGACATTTAGGGACGGCCAATGACTGCTATTCTTACAACATTGCAAAACCGATGACATATTCGATATGTTCCAAACATGTCCCTTCAGTTTGGTTGCAGTTCAAAACAATTGACTAGCCTGTCCTGAGTCTGTTGCTGCCGGATATAGAGGTGTTTTTCGGGTCAGAGCTCATAAGTTCATCCTGACAGGGTATGAAGGGCAGCCGTATCTGGTCCATTGTGGATGCAGAAAGTTGTGAATCAGGAACTCACTTTTCAGACCAAGAATACACTGGCTCGGATGATTTGCAACACCGACATACAAAGATTCCTCACTTCATTCACACCCCGAATTCTTGTTCCTCAAACGAATGTATGCAGATTCTCTCCCGAAGCAATGGCCAGTCTTCCCCAAGTTGGTGTGGATTTAACTCCATTGCAACTCTAAAATCGAGCAGAGACACTGAATGCTGATCTTGTGTCGAGTTGAAAGCCCCGTGGTTATTTTGCATATGCGAATTTTTACTCTGCCACACTCCATTTACATCCTTGTTCTGAACATGCTGTCTATCTAAAGTTTGTTTCCCGGGCGTTTCATTTGTAGACCGAGCTCCAACCAAGTCGATGCAAGATTTTATCAGCTTCTTCAGGTATACATCCAGCATGGTATTCAACATATTAGAACACTCCATTGAGACTCCACCAAGACCCTGTGCCACTGCAATATTCTCCATTCGTTTTCTCAGCATCTCTGTGTCAGATAATCCACCACTGTCGTAGCAACTAGTGAGATCTGGACTGGTACTAGAAACGGGTACTGTTCTCCGGGGCCCACCAACACTAGCTGAACAAAATGGAAGCCCCAGAGGTGCAATTAGAGGATTTCTTGCGAGATTTAGTCGAGCCAACTTCTCTTGCTCTTCATCACCTCTGGTAACTGTCGTTGCAACCTGATCTCTACTTGGTATTCTCGGTTTTTCTGCAGGACGGAGAAATGGACCGTCTCTTTCGTCATCGAATCGGCTTGCTCTATGGTGGTCAAAATGGCCCAAATCCCCATTTTCCATGTTGATGGCACCACTATTGTCATCTCTACACATCGGCTGATTCAACAGATTTTCAACCTTCCCGTTTGGCCCTAGTGGACTAGGCCTGTCCCTCAACTTCCTGTCACGCATTACAGTCCTAACCTTTCGTGGAGACAAGCGCAAAACCCCATTTGACCAAACAGGGTCATTTTGATTATGGTTAGGGATTAAAGACCCGCTCTGTTCTTCCCTATCATTTGAACTCTGAACAGTTTGTACCAAAGATTTGGCAGGGTGACCCGCTGCATGAGCTGGAGGTGGGGACTCAGCCAGAGATGCATTTCTCAAGATTGAACGGATCAACTGATTGTGAAGAGGGAGATTCTCCCTCCCTAAAAGCCGGTGACACGACTTGTCAAACTCGCTCTTGGTAAGCTTCTGACTTAAAAATCTGCTCAAGTAATAAAAGTACCTCCTAGATTTTTCAACCCCAATCTTCTTCACAATCTGGCCTTTCAGTTCACCCAGATCAATCCTCGGGTCTTGAGGTCGTTGCATGACTATTCCCACAAAACAAAGTCTCTTACCATCCAAAACCAGGAATTTTTTCTTTTTTGTTTTCACAACAAAACCAGATGAACAGTCAGAGAGTGCACAAATGCACCCTCTAAGCGATTATTATCCTGCACTAAAACAAATCTGAATCATGAAACTTGTTCCTCCTCGAATGCAAAACGATTGCAAGAACTCAAGCAGAAGTTTGAGTAAAAGGCCACTGGAATGTCAGCAGGATTGAATCTTTTCTTATTTTCAAATGACCCCGGACTCCCAATTCCAGAAGCCAAAACAATGCAAAGCCAAACCTCATCTTCCCAAAATCAAAACCCTAGAGATCATATCTACTGTCAGGCTTACAGCAAAGCCCTCAAATTCTCCATATCATCTGAATCAGTATCACAATATATCAAAAACCCAAGTTCCGAATCACCAAATCATGCCCTCCAATGGAAGAAACATCCACGACCCTCTCGCCAACTTCACGAGCGGGTGAAACCACGAAACTGCACCAAGACGGAAAGACCCGACATTTTAACACCCAATTAGGAAGCTAAAAACTTCAAAATACTCGAAATTTAAGAGGAGCAAATCGAGATCGGTGAGTTTGAAAGGTTCGAGCTCGGGAACAGAGCAAACAAGCGAATTGCCTAAAAATGGCGAAATTCGAACGGCGGATTGAAGAAACGGGCAATGAGGAGAAAAACCCAAGCTCGTGAGCAGAAAAAGCAAGTGTTGAAGAGATTGATTGAAACCTAACCTCAGCAAGATTGACCAGAATTTCAGACAGAAAAGAAACACGGGACAGAAGAAGCAACTTTCCCGACCAACACCCAACGATTCCTCGCTCTTCTTCTGCTTCGCTTCGGTGGAATTCCCGGCTTTCCCAAGAAAATAAATTATTCCGGTCTTCGAATTCGCAGTGTCTCCCTGGATGAGTCTCGTATTGCTTTCGGGTTTGAATGCCTGAGCTTTCGCTCTTTTGTGTTAACCTTCGATCGCTGCTTATTGCGTTTTGTTGTGTTTTGATTCTCTCTCTCTCCCTCTCTCTCCCCAACATATGTTATTTTATCATTATTTTGTTTATCTTATTTTTATTATCAATAACTCGTTTTCATTTTCTTTCTTAAATCTCATGAGTTCTTACACCTTGTTGTTAATATTTTTTTTTGTCTTTTTTGAAACTTTGTTTTAAAATGTTTTTAAGAATAAGAGTTTCAGTTTTCATCATAGATTAATCAGTTAATTCATAAAAACAGTCGATATTTTTATTTATTTTCTAGTAAACCATTTCAATTGCGTAAAATATTTATTAAACACCAAAAAATCAACCAGAATCAGAAAATAAAAAGATTTGGAGAAAAGAGACAAACTTTGAAATGTGGAGATTTTAGGACCTATTTTTTTTTAAAAATAACGGCATCTGTGGAAGATTATTAAATTGGAGTTTTGAAAAAAAAAACAGATTTAAGAAAGTTTGAGCCTTTTTGTTAATTGTTTAGTCAAAGTTTATTCAAGGAAAATATATTGGTCTTTTAATTTTTTCCCCTCTAAAAGCTAATAAAGACTGTGCTAGAAATTCATGATTTTCTGAGTGAAAATTTGGATAAGGTAATACATATGATTTGTTTATAGCAAATTCTCTTGTTATAGACATTTTAGGATTGTTCTTTCTGGTCCATATATGATATGTTTTTTTTCCCGTTTTTGATGTTTTCTTTGAATGATTATTACAAGCAATTGACAATTATCCTAAAGACCGGAACCAACACCAATATAAATAATTGTTTTACGAATGAACGGACAGCAAATATATAATATCGCAATCACATTATATTTTTTTTATAAAAAAGTGATATTGATAATGTTTTATGCATGTTAAGGTTCAATTTTTTTTTTTTTGATAATATGGAAGTCAAAAGATTTGAAAAACTTGTGTGAATATCTCTTCACAAGTGAGGACTCGAATCCAAGTTAAAAAAGACGTTTGCTCTCTTTTTTACCGGTTGGACTACCCAATTTTGGATGTCAATATTTATTTTGGATCGTCTAAATAAATAATTTAACTCAATTAAATAACATATAGTTATATTTGAATATAGTTCCGTCTAAATTTAAACAGAAATTTTAAAGTAAATAATTGTTAGTAAAAAAATTTAATGGAGACTGAATATAAATATAATTTAAATCGAACAAAAATATGAAATCGAATTAGTGTTTACTTTTTTTTTATATGATTAGATTATATACTAAAGTTACTGCCTGTAAAAAAGCTCTAGAATAACAGTAAAAAAAAAGAAATTCAAGATCTAAGGTTTCATAGTTTAAAATTGTGTTTAATTAATAATAGGCCCTGATTTTTTTCCTTTGATTTTAGTATTAATAAAGATTTTGCGAAAAGTGTTTTCCCTCATTTTAATGGGATGAATAACAAATTGAAATTAATCGTATATGTATGTATGCCTGTATGGACCCAACTAGGACGTGGGCGTGACCGTATCTTTACACATTGACAAAATCTCTGTCCGAGAATATATACATGAATTGGTTTTACAAACATATAATAAAGGAAAAGAAAAGAAAAGGTGTGGATAAAAGAGGCTAATATTAAACCGGAAATTTCAGATTTCGGTTGGTTTTTGGTTAGTTTTTTTTTTAAATGAGAAATTATATATCCATTTATTTTTATTAAATTTGAGTTCGGTTTATATTTTTAATATATACTTAACGCTAATATCTGTATAATATCTTATTTCTGCTCACATTTTTTTAGACTAAATCATCATCTGATGTTAATATTAATGTTGTTGTGATTGAAATAATCTGACACGCCCATAAAAAAATTAAATGATTCGGATAACTTAACTAATTCTGAAACCTTAATTAGACCATAAATTAATGAATTATGAAACCTTAGACTAATTAATAAAAGGAAGTGTAGCAATGCCTTGTGCATGCATTGTAAAATAAAACTCTCATGTGAAAAAACTCAACGTTACAAAAACGGATCCTTGAAAAGGAAGATTATACCTTCTTCTTCTTCTTCTTCTACAAACTATTTGTTGTAGGGTTTTTTAAACTACTCTTAGTTCGAGACAAAAACCAATGAAACATACTGTTGGTTATCTGTCTTTCCCGCCCTTAAACTGTGTAATGCTGCTGAATCGCGTCGATGTCGATTCCTTTCATCCTCGCTACCGATTCCACGTGACCCTTCAGCGTGTGCAGCTCTCTCAGCCTGCCGCGAGTGAACGAGCGAGCGAGTGAGTGAGTGAGTGAGAGAGAGAGAGAGAGAGAGAGAGAGAGTATATTACCTGGCAACTTCAGCACGGCGCTTGGCCTGCTCAGCGATCTCAGAGTGTTCATGGCAGCTGTTCCTTTCAGGGAAGATGGCGGTGTCTAGGGTTTGGAGGCCATGGATGGTTCTCTGAGCTGCAGCCCACTGTGCTTCCCTCTCCTCGATCCCATAGTCTTTCTTTGTCGTGAAAGCCGTCTTTCCACGCCATTCCAGTCGCTCAGTCAGCCAGTTGTAAGCAGTTTAAATGTTCATTATTACTCATATATAGATTCAGTAACTAGTACCTTGTTCTGAAGAAGGTTGTTCCAAGCTCTGCCACTGAGGACGTAGCGGATGGCGAACTTGAGAAAGTCGAGAGGGATGTACGTTACAAGGCTGTATAGCCATATCACTCCTGCCCATCCCCATCCTATTCCTTGTATGTGAGCAAAGCTCCAGTTCGCGTACACAGTTATTAATGTCGCTATCTGCACGTTATGTAAAATTCCATGTATATTATACATATACATTATATTCTTGGTAGTTTAGTTGAAGAGGAAGAGAGAGAGAGGTTTCTTGTTTTACCAGCTGAGCTACAACAAAAGCGCCGAGTAAGAGGAGTCCAGGGCGTTCTACGTAGGACCAGCTACGAGCCCTCGTCACAAAGATGAGAGCTTGGCTGATAATACTGACTTGCAGGTACAGTGCTGATGTCATTTTCTGTGAATTGATCTTCAAGGGCCTGACCCCAAACGTATCCTGCATAATCCAGCGAAAACCCGGTTTCAAAAAAAAATGTTGAATCTCTTCCATGTTTTGGGTGTAGAGTGATTTATTACGGTGAAGAATTTGGTGTCTCTCATCGTCCAGAAGAACACGATTGTCATCACGGCCATGTAGCCTCCGAGCACAATCCCGGTCGAGAAGATTTCTCTGAGTTTCCAACTGTCAGGCTGTGGAGATGGCTTCACTCTGTCCTTTGATATGGTCATGATTGTTCCTATAAACCATAGTGAAATGTCAAAAACCATATCTGACACACACACACACCATCATGGTTACATAGTTATATCATGTCAAATGTGTGAAAAAGAAGTGATCTCACCATCGTTTAGGATGGCAATGATGAGGATCATGAAGGGAGAAAAGTTAAACTCCCATACCAAGGCAATGAACATGAAGCCAAACTGTGGATACCACCATCACATTAACTTGGGTTATCAAAACCATATGAACTGACTCGGATTCCGTGAATTTTAAGTTAACTTATACTTACCACGATCCGTATAGTGATCGACACTGCATAAATCTGCAAGCAACGACAACGTTTTTACAATCCCATGATTCTGCACTAAGACAGTTTTCAGCCAAGAGAAATGTGTCTTACTGTGTAGTTTTTCATTCTCTGGAATATGGCTCTGCTTGTGAGTACTGCACTGATGATAACACTCAACCCGGGCTCGGTAAGAACAATGTCGGAAGCACTTCTAGCTGCATCTGTAGCATCGGCAACAGCAATACCGATATCTGCTTTCTTAAGTGCCGGGGCATCATTCACACCATCTCCAGTCATACCACATATGTGCTTACTCTGTTGAAGCCTATTAACAATCTCATACTTGTGTTCTGCCGTTTTCAGATCCCGAAGATCCATCAGAACCAAACAGACATAACAGAACAACCATAATGTTTTGCTTTTTTTGTCAGGTAAGATTTACCTGGAAAAACTCCCGCAAATCCATCGGCCTTCTCGATCAACTCATCGATCGGGATGGCTGCGACAGAGGAATCTTTGTCTTGTCCGAGAAACGTGGAAGAAGGGTACATGTTCGTTCCCATCCCGAGCCTGCGTCCAGTTTCCTTGGCAATTGCTAGCTGATCCCCTGTGGTTTGAGAAGCCGAAAACAAAATGTCAAGCGAAGAAAGCGAAAAGGGATTAACGCCCATAGTTTGTTTATAAGATCCTTAACCGGTTATCATCTTGACATTAACGCCAAGGTGAAGCGCCCTTCTAATCGTTTCAGCACTGTCGTGTCTAGGAGGATCGAAGAGAGGCAACAGGCCTAGAAATTGCCATGGGCCACCGGGACTGTCCTTGTTCTTCCCGGGAATTTCCTGCAGCAGATTCAATCCAACAGATATGACACGAAAAGAACGAGAGATTTAAGTTACAAACTACAAATAAATTATAGCTCAACAAACAGACCTGGCTTGCAACACCCAGAGACCGCAACCCTCGTCCAGCAAATTTATCGATCACTGAATGAACCTTCCTTCTGATATCCTCCTTGCTGTTGCAGAGATTTAGAATCTGGTAAAGATAGGAAGGAATCAGTAAACCATGCAAAAATGAGCAACAGATAAACCGAAAATGTGATTTAACATGTTTTAGAAATATCAAATACCTGCTCTGGAGCACCTTTGCTTGCTCGGTGCCAGTTTCCATCGGAATCTATATAGGTCAAAGCAGTTCTCTTGTCGACAGGGTTGAAAGGAAAGAAGTGAACCTCTCGAATAGCAGCCCGGGCCTGTAGAACACATTCGACACTTTCACCAAAAAAAACCATGTGATCTAGAAGGTGATTATAACCAGATACACATGGAAAACCATACCTCTTTAGGATCTGCAAGCATCCCAATAGTTGCAGCATCAATGGCGTCCTGATTCTCAGTCCTTGAAGCCCTTGCCGCCGAAAGGATGACATGTTCTCTATCCACACCTTTGGCAAACACCTCTATCAGGTCCCTATCAACTGTAAGCTTGTTTAGAGTCAAAGTTCCCGTCTTGTCACTACACAGCACATCCATGCCCGCCATTTCCTCGATGGCTGTCATCCTCTTTGTAATGGCACCTTGCTGAGAAAGCCTGTGGGAACCGATGGCCATGGTGACAGACAAGACAGTGGGCATAGCAATGGGGATTCCTCCTATCAACAGAACGAGTAAGTTGTCTATCCCTTCCCTATAATCTCGATGCTGTATCGGGTACATCACTATTATCTCTATGATGATTCCAACAACAATTGAACAGATGCAAAAGTTTCCGATGGCGGTAAGAACTTTCTGAAAGTGTCCTACTTGATTCGTGCTGTCGACGAGATGAGCAGCTTTACCAAAGAAGGTATGAACGCCAGTGGCGATCACGATTGCTTCTATCTCTCCTTGTTTACAAGTCGATCCCGAGTAAACTTCATTCCCTGGATTCTTACTGACCGGAATCGATTCTCCTGTTAGAGCAGACTGATCAACCTTCAACGGATCACCCTCAAGTAAACGCGCATCAGCCGGTATGATATCCCCAAGCTTAACACTGATTATATCCCCTGGAACAAGAATTGCAGCATCTTGCTCGCTCCATCGGCCATCTCTCAGCACCTGTATGCATTCATATGGTTTCAAAGAGCCAAAACGGAACAATACCCTTGCTGAAACGAACCAAGACAACAAAAAACCCGTACTGAAACAACCAAGAATCTTAAGCAAGCAACCTTGGTTTTGGGAGCAATTCCAGCCATGAGGGCCGCGGCTGCATTTCCGGCGTTGTTTTCTTCGATAAAACTAATGGTGGAGTTGATAAAGAGCAAGCACACTATCCCGACAAAGTCCTGCCAATCTGGAGGACGGCCGGCACCATTTGCAAGAGCTATGGCCATGAGAGCAGCTGCCTCCATGACCCATGATAGTGGATTCCACATGAACCCTAGAAACTTGAGAAGCTTGCTGTCCTGGATTTGTCAACGTATCAAAATCATCAAGATTTTCTATCAGATTCTGCTACAAAAGCATCAAACAGTTAGATAAATATGAAAAAGAGCGAACCTTTTTCTCTTCTAGCTTGTTGGGTCCAAACAACTGAAGCCTATATGCAGCTTCCTCTGAAGTTAGACCTTGTTCCGTACATCTCAGCTGCTCAAATACTTCCTCCATTGGAATTTGGACCTGGAAACGGATCATCATTCATGATGAAAACATGCACATATATTATGAAAAGGAATAAGCTTTTTAATATTATGTTAAGCACGCGTGGATACAATGAACATCCACCATGGAAATGGTGACTTAGCACCTAATGGACTTGTAAAAGTCCAATCTTTTCATTTTTTTTGTATATTTTTAATTAATATGGTTGCCAAATACTAATTATAAAGAGCAGCATAATGACTGGATGAGGCCTAAATTAATTTCCTATATAAAATATCCCTTTAATACTGAGAAAAAAAAAGTGAATATATTTATATTTATAACCTATAAAAACTTGCTTATATATATATATATATATATATATATATATATATATATATATATATATATATATATTATGTTCATGATTACTATTTCAAATTTAACATATTATATCTAGACGGTTGTTTTCTGTTTCAAACCATGGAGATCAGATTATATACAAACTTAACGACGTTCATGGAAAAAAAAGAGAGAGAGAGTGAGTGAGAGATCGAAACGGCCAGAAATTTTCCCAGCAACCAAACAGAATGAGATTTCGTGGGCTATAAAATATCCTAAAATCAGTACCGCGGAAAACAGACGAGAAAATTTATGAGCAACCAAACAAGAGTAAAAAAAAGAATGGTTTTACTTTTACAGCAGACTCTCATGGCGAGAAAACGAGATTTTCCATTCCCATGCACCAGAAATTTCGAAATTAAATTAAACAACCCGAGATATTCCCAAAATCTAGATAAATCGCTATGATCAGCTTTTGAGAATCGATTCCGCGAATCAGACTTTCTCAGCGGCCAAACAGAGTCAAAAAAATGTTTCACAACAGAAACTGACGGTGAGGGAGTATAGGGTTTTCTCGAGAGAGAAAACGCGAACCGACTAACAGATTTTCTCAGCAACCAAACAGGAAAAAAGAAAAGATATCCCGTTACAGTAACTTAGCCGAGAAAACTCACTTCCCTTCCCATGCACCAGAAAGTCTAGAAATCATGCAGACAAAGCAAGATATCTCAAATCAGCCCAAAACAAAATCTCTAAGAGTCCCTTTTTCTCGGCAATCAAACAAGAATGGGAAATTTTCAAAAAAAAAACGACCGATGAAAAACGAGGAGAAGAGAAGAGAAAATCACCATATCAACAGTCTCATTCTTAATGTGGTTGAGTCCATTCCCATCGTTAGAGCTGGAGGCAGCCATAGCGACGATAATATGTAAGCAAAAAAAGGGCACAAACAGAGAAAAAGTGGCGAATCAGAGGAGAAGAAGGTTGAAGGAGACGACTCAGAAGCTCAGGTACCTATAAGAAGTGAGGCGCGCGCTTTATATATCGGAGTTTCCCCCCGGTGGGTCCCACGCGCCATTTGCCCACTCGCGTCTCTTCACGCGCTCCACCTCCTCCTCTCTCTCCTTTATTTTTTACTTAAAAAAACTTATCTTTTTTTTTAGTTTTCACTTTTTTTTTGAATATTTCACTTATATTTTTTATTTCAATAATACTATTATAAAATATTATTTTCGTTTTAAAATTTTTAGAATTTGACAATTTAATGTCTCTTTTGTTGGATCTCTGTCAAATGCTCTTTGGAAATTTTAGTTTCGGTTATCACTATTCATTTATTTATTAGATTAATATTTTAATTCCTAATTAGTTATGTAAAATTTATATGTTCTTTTATAAGAATAATCAATTTTGAACCATTTACAAAATGTTGTTGCCTGTGCTTTAAGTGTAGGATTTGAAGGATTCGATTATGTTTAAACATTTTGTATGGTAAAGTTGGGAACTTGGGATAGTTCTCATTCCTATAAATTTTAGGTATGTAGAGTGAGTAAAATTATCATAATTTCGCATATCTGTTCCGATCTTTGGATTGGATATTCAAAATTGGTTATCCGTTTTGCAATGAAATAGAAATCAAGTTTTAATATGTCCAAAATTCGAAATTCGGATTCGAGTTCGGATTAATGTTTTCGAGTCGAATAATTATCTGTGGATATCTAGATAGTAAAAAATAGCATTGTATTTTTTAGTTATTAGAAAGTTACAAATTTTTTTATCATATCTATTTATGTTTTCTTTATTTAGATAAAAAAAAACTATTGTAGTATGATCTATTTATTTAGATATAAATATTTTTCAATAATTTTATAAATCATTTGTACATAATCTATCGATTTTTTATTAAAATATATTTAACATCTATCGAATTTGGGTATTCGTGGATAGTTGAAAATTGTCTCACGGATAATATAATTTGGAATACTCGAAAATTTGTATTTGGATTTAGATTTTAATATATATTATTCGTCGAGTTTGAATTCAAATTCAGATACCTTAAAATTATCAGATACCATCTGTACCATCCTTATAAATATGTAGAACATCTATTTATTATAGATATGTAATAACTCCATCTTATAGAAGATATATTTTTTCCTTTTTTAATATTTTTTATCAAGAAAAAAAAATATAATTTTCATCTTTTCTAATTTTTTATTTCCAACTAATTGTTTCCATCATACTTGAATCCCTTACATATATTTCAAAAATAAATGTTGTTTAAAGTTTTCCTTTTATTTTATAATAAATGTTGTGATACAATTTCAATACAATTTTTTATTAATAATTATAATTTTTTTTCAAATTAAAAATAAAGATATATTAGAATTTTATATTGGGTTTTAATGTATAAAAATATTATAATATATATTTACTATGGAATATAAAACATGTTAATTTTATAATTTTAATAGTTGGTTTATTGGTTTAAGATTTTTTTATGTGTTTTTATAGTTGAAAAAACTGCAACAAATGAAAATAATAACAAGTGATACGGTAAAAAATAAATAATATCTTAAACGTAATATCACGCGCTACACAAAAAACAATGTTTGGCGTGACTCAGAACGAGTTTGTCAGAGTTTATTTTTTAGAATATCAATTGTACGGAATTTAAACTTAACGACATAATTTAATATACACGAGATAATTAGATGTGTCAGATAAATAACATAATTCAGTAGAAATATCGAATCATTATACGTGTTACGTTATAATACGTCGAACAACTGAACCAATCTAATGCGTAGAATCACGTAACTTTTTAATCAATTTTCTTTTTTTTTTTTATTTTGTTTGATAAAACATTCAGTTAATATATGATAAACATTATATTCTATATAAAGTTTAAGATTTATTTCTATTCCTAATTATAATAGCAAACATTATTTAAATGATTTATAAGTAGTTACAGTTTAATAATTCAACTAAAGACAATTTTTAAAATTTTAAAATAAAATGTTAAATAAAGTTATGTTAAATTTCACATTGTTTTTTAATATTTTTTAATATATAGAAAATATAGCATTATATTTAATGTAAAAAAGCGTATTAACTTTATGTAATTTTTTTTAATTAATGCTTTATTTTTATTATTTTAAAAAGATATTTTCTTTTTTCTTTTTAATTTTTTTTTATAATAAACAAATCAAAATAAATGAAGTAAAAACAAAAATATAGTAAAGATTAAATAATGCTTTAATCTATGTTGAATGCAAAAGAAGAAACTTCGTTTAAATTCAATCTTAAATGTAAAATAAATATAAGAACTAATTATAAACAAATAGAAAAATCAATCTTATCAAATGAAATGTATTATATATTTAATAAGCGAAACTGAATTTTCATATACTAACTATAAAAATCAAAAGAATAATAGCATAAACACTGTTTTTATTTTGGACTTAATTAAATTTCTAAAGAATTGAAAAAACATAATGTGCAGTTTTGGAGAAAGCTTTTTTTTAATAATAAATATATTTCATAAATCAAATTATCATCTATATATATAAATAATATCACGTACAATAGAGATAAAATTAAAATTGAAATGATGCCCCGACTTTGGGTGGATTCTCCAAATCCCACGCCTTTGGGTCTTTGGCCGTACATGGGTCTTCGTCCGTACTAATGGCGACGAACAGTTTTTTTTTTTAAGGGAAATTCCCAAAAAAATCATCCAATTATGAGATAACTATCACATTCATCACGAACTTTTAAAATTTCCAAATTCATACTAGATTTGAATTTTTTTTCTAAAAAATCATTCGAAATTTAAATTTTAACAAAATCCTCATCGAAACAGAATTAATTTTGCCACGTAGACAGAAAGAGCCTACATGGCCTGTACATGTTCGTCACGTAGGATACACGTGACATTAATTATAAAAAATTAAAAAATAAAAAAATGTAAAAAAATTATAAAAAATGTGAAAAATTACAAAAAAAATGTAAAAATTGTAAAAAAAATGTAAAATTGTAAAACATTTTCAAAAAATGTAAAAAATGTAAAAATTATAAAAATTATAAAAATTGTAAAAAATTGTAAAAAATTGTAAAAAAAATTGCAAAAAATTATAAAAATTGTAAAAAATGTAAAATTATAAAGTTCGTGATGAATTTGATAGTTATCTCATAATTGGATGATTTTTTTTTTGGAAATTTCCCTTTTTTAAAAAAAAATTAAAATTTTATATTTTTTTACAATTTATTTTAAATTTTTTAGATTTTTTGAAAATGTTTTACATTTTTTTATAATTTTACATTTTTTACAATTTTTACAATTTTTATAATTTTTTGGAATTTTTTTACAATTTTTTATAATTTTTTACAATTTTTATAATTTTTTACATTTTTTGAAAATGTTTTACAATTTTACATTTTTTTACAATTTTTTACATTTTTTTTGTAATTTTTTCACATTTTTTCACATTTTTTTATATTTTTTCCAATTTTTTTTAATTCTTTATTATTAATGCCACATGTATCATACGTGGTGAACACGTATATGTCATACAGACGCCATGTAGGCGCTTTCTGCCTATGTGGCAAAATTAATTTTGCTACGATGAGGATTTTGTTAAAATTTAAATTTCGAATGATTTTTTAGAAAAAAAAAATCAAATTCAGTATGAATTTGGAAATTTTAAAAGTTCATGATGAATGTGATAGTTATCTCATAATTGAATGATTTTTTTGGGAATTTTCCTTTTTTTAATAACGGAGAATCCTGCTTCGAAGTCCAGACTAATCTCGGGGACGAGAGTCAACTATGTGATTTAAATTATACGTTTCCTCCCAAACTTGAGGTTCGAATTCAGGATGGAATAGATGCTTTGTGTTTCTTATTCATCGGTTAAGTTAATCAAGTTGGGTAGTTGCTCCTAATTTTGTTTTTTCTTTAGTTATTTTTTATACTATTTGTATTTTCTTTAGTTATTATATCTAGGCAATTTAGTAATATTAAATTTTAAAGACATAGGGAAATTTAATATATATATATATATATATATATATATCGTGTATGTATATGTATATGTATATGTATCTGCATCTAGACACGAAGAGTGTTTGTGGGTATTACTGGAAAGAAAAAAAAATGATTAGGGTTTCATGAAATAGGGGATGTCGTTTTGCCATGAAACGTGAAAAGGATTGCATGCATGAGTACACGGAGGAGGGGAGAGTACGTCATTTGCTCAAATTCCGCAAAAGCCTCTTTCTACTTCACCATTCAAGCATTCTATCAGACAGCATTCATTTTACAATATTATTATCATTATTTTTTGTTAGAACGTCATGTTATATTCATTTTATGTGAATATATTTATATATATATATATGTTATAATTATTTTTATTTTATTTTAATTAATTATTTTTATAATTGTTTATTTTATAATTATTTTTAAATTTTAAAATTTTAAAATTTGTTCGTATTGCATCGACGTGTCAAATTGACAAAACCATATCAATGTTGAATGTTGAAAATTTGACCGGATTTTTGGACGATCGGAAAATCGAAAAAAATTAAAAATTTTATATTTACTGAAACAGAAAATATTAGGTTATTTATATACACAAAATGTACAATTTAGACATGCAAACAAGTTCTTGGAAACCATAAGCTTAAGTCATTTGCAGAGAATTATGTCATCCCACTCTTTGATGTAATTCCATGTGCATGCTTATGTATGTATCCAGAAATATTTCATCAACTTGCATTTTATCTCTTTGGTATGTGTTATCGGATATATATTTTATAATTCATGGACAGGGAAAATGACGCGAATACAAATTCAAGAAATGAATTAACATAGATTCCTATATTCCATTTATAAAAATATGAGAGTTTAAATATCCCAAAGGCAGAGTTCTATAATGTTATGTATCATATGTACCGTTTATGCATGCCAAATATATTAATGCCGTGACAAAAAAGGAATAAAAAAAATAAAAAAAAAATCAATTACACAAACTTTGATTTATCCACTATTGGGATATGGTATAGTTGTTGTCGGTCGAAGGTTTAATTTAAACTTAGGAGTTATAAGATGTAAGAAACGATCCACGAGAGTGATAACGGACGTTCGTAGAGCAATCGTGGACGTACGTATTTATTCCAATCAATACGTAAGATATGATTTTCTCAATTGGATATTATTCGGAATTATGAGGGGTTATTACAGAATTATATGATTTTCCGAATCAAACGTTGTATTACTTATTCAACCAGATAACGCATATATTATATATATAGACATGAATATAGAATAAATCTAATTCCATCGAAAAATTATTTAAACTAGTCATATTAGGATATATAAACCAAATAACACACATGCCATTTTCTCTTGTGTGTATTGGAGCAACAACATGGAAGAAAGCTTCTTATTTGACACTTCGTTCTATATATAATATATCCACTAAAATCTAAGCCAATGATAAAATAATTCAGGGAATTTTGGCTATTAACCGCCTAAGAAAGTCAAAGTGCAGTACCACAAAAATTGATCATAAGACACCACCATAATTCCACATCAATGGAGCACAATGTTTATGTCAAAACACACATGAGATCTATCTACCCACCATAATTAACCAAGTTTTTATTGAACTTTTTTTTTATGAATTATAAATTATAATAAAGAAATAAAGATTTTACACGGGATGAAACCGAATGTATTAGGAGATATTTAAAAATAGAAATCTATGAAGATGAACTAGAAAACTTCTAAGGAAAGTGAAACATTAAAAAAAATGATTCAAACAGAGATTATTACAAAATTTATGCCGACGCAGTTAATTATTTAAACACAGATTAATTAATAGCAAATCTACGCGATATTGTTTAACTCGATTAGTAATTTTCGGAAGAAAAGCAATCCATCGGATAAATCCGAATTTCCTCATTGGGAAACTAGCTTAAGAAAGAAAGAAAAAAAAGAAGCCGTTGATGAAGCAATCATCAAGCCAAACCGGTGAAAAGATTAAACGAGACCAAATTTAACCGAAACTGAACCAAACTAAACCAAACCAAAACCATTCGGTTTGGGATTTGAAGATTTCAAGCAGTTTTGAGTACTTTGGAAACTGCTTGGGTTCAAAAGCTTTCGTGTTCTAAAGGCAAGTCCAAACTTCCCCCACATACTGTTACAACATTAACACCTGTCTGAAAGAAAGAAAAAAACACAATCCATGCGACATAAAAACTACTGAGCAATCAGATACATACCTCTAAACCTAATACTCTAACACCCTGAAACGAAGGCCAAATCCATAAGCTCGGCCCCATAAATTCACAACCAAAACAAACAAACAGAGTGGCGTCTTGAGATCGGTCGGGTCTCTGTCCTACGATGACTACAATAACGTACCTTTTGTCAGATGAATAACTCTCTCCTACATGGGGCCGGGGCGGATAGGTGCAGAAAGCTTCTTCTTATACATTTGTGGTTGCTTGCTTAGCCCTTCCTCTGCCTCTGCCTCTGCCACGACCTCGGCCTCGGCCTCTTCCTCTTCTGCTGTAAGCCGCAACCTTGGTTGTAGCACCGGGACTGCTGCTACCCGAGTTTGGGAGTGACTGATTATCCGGTAACCATTCCTCTTCATGTGCGCTTGAACTGTTCTTTGAGGCACTGGAAGTAGTGCTATCTTTCTCTTTCGTTGATCCATTTCCCACTGGAATATCGGCGGAAGTTTCATTCACGGGCTCATTTCCCTCCTCTGTTCCGGGTTTTGCGTTTGGTTCTTCTTGGGGAGAGCAGAAACCGTTGTTTTCTTTATCTGGTAGGCCGGGCTCTGGTTGCCCGTCCACCGCCATTGGCGAACTGGAAACAGAGCTTGACTAAGTCGGAAGTAGAAATATACATATGCCAAGATAGGAGACGGTTCCTCACCTGGGCGCTGAAGATGGGAAACCATTAGAAACAGGCGGAGCATCTGTTTCGCCAGCTTCTTTTGATGTTAAGGGGACATTCTCAGACACATCTTTTGGGATGGACAAGTTCCCGGTTGAATCTGGACTTGCCCCGAGAGCCAAGACCACTGTAATGTCAGAGGCGAGGGTAAATAAAGAGAATCAACTAACCTGAGGAAATTGTATGTCCAAATTCTTACCATGTGTGGTCCCTCCTGTCACTAAGCATGGCTGAATATTGTCACCACCTTTATCATCGGCTTCAGCACCGTCGGTTCCACTGTGGTACATAGAAGATGCCAAACTAAGAAGATGGAATGGGATTCATCCAAGAAATTAAAAATAACAGAAAATGCTCATAGGGTTAATGTAATGTAATCAAACCTTTGAGGAGCACTATTCATATCCTCAGATGGTTCGACTACTTTTAACATCTCTTCTGAACCATCTGCTACACCTAAGAAGATAAACTTTACTCAAATAAGATTTAAAAAGAGCTAAAGACAACAAAAAACATATTTACACACACAAAAAAAAAACAATCCGCAGGAGAAAACTATGAATGTGAAGAAAGGATTTAAAGAAGAGAAACTAACAAGATCTAGTGCGTAAGTCTCTTGTTTCCTCATCAAACAGATTAGCTTCCGCTGTCTTCAACCAAATACAAACATAACACAAACAAGTAAGAGATTGAACATGCAAGCATATCTAGTGCCAGAATGCGAAACTGGATACCTGCTTGAGTTCAGCGGAGGAAACAGCCGTATTTGGCAAAGCGTCAATTTGACTTTCATCTTGCATATTCTGCACACCTGAAGAACAGTGACAAGGTTTTACACTTGTAATCAGAACCCATAATCCTTTTAGGTTTAGCTCGTGTTTCTTATCCCTAAAATATTCTATAACTGAATAAGGGAACAAACCTTGGAAACTTGAAGAAGCCCCTCCATCAGTATTTAAAGATGCAACTACTGCATTTGCACAAGGACGAAACATCTCTTTGCTATTGCCTTTGAGCATATCAGTCATTAAAATGTTAATGCTTTGTCTTGAATCCGAAGAGATCACAGTTTTAGGGGACGCCACACTTCTTAGCATTTGCTCTGTTGCTTTCGCTCTGACTTTACGTATTTCCTCTTGAATGTTCCATGACTGGCTAGAGCCAGATCCCTTTTTCAACTGCATTCCATTGTCAAATTGTCAAACTTAGGCATAGAATTTTGGAAACCAAAAGAACAAAATGCAGACGAAACATACATTTTCATTAAAGGCAAGGATAATATGCAACTCCACAAAAGCTGGAAATAAAATTCTGATAAAAGCATAATTCATAAATAATGTGGAAACCCAACTATATTTTCCCGTAACATTTTATTATGATGAAAGCACATGCAGAATACCAAAACTATGGGAGAAAATCAACATTATACTGAAATGCACCTTGGATGAAGACAATCTACCAGCGCTTGAGGAAAAGGGTGTATCATCTTTAAGAAGCTGCATCCCTACTGGTGATGGAGATCGAAAATCGACCTGATTCGCAGAGGGAGATGCCCATGGAGGACGAGCTCGCATATATGATTTGGCCAGGTCCACAGGTGATCCAGCATCTTTTTCGGTGACCTAGAAATTGAAACTAACTGCTGAGATATGAACATAATCGTATCTGCTACATAATTGGATATGAAGGTACATATTGCACACCATTGTCCACATAAATTATTAAAATTGAGAAGAACATAGTCTTGCTTCTATGTTGACTTCGTCCTTCGAAAAGGAAAAACAAAAAACAGAATCAGGCACCTATGATGCAACGCACTAAAAAATAGCCGTTCTTCCATTCATGATGTTTCAAAATTGTTACAGAAATACTCATGTTGATAACAAAACAATATTAAAAATATAGCTAAATTCTTCAGCAAGAGAACCAACTTGGTCAGTTGGACAGCGTGCAGAATGATCGTATCAGAATAGGTCACATATCTAGAATACGACTCCAGAAAAGTAGAAAACAATTTCTTGAGCACATTGATCGGGCATCACAAAAAGAGGACTTACATGCAGCAGTGCAGAAGAGTCAACGAATGGGCTTCCAAGACCCGGGTTATACTTCGAACTCGATCCTGATTTCTTCTCCTCTATCCACTTCTTTGCCTCCATCACAGCTTTACTGGACATATCAGGAGCACTCACATCTAAAAACAAAGTGAACAATGTTATCAAAATACATAAAATGGTTTCCTTCGATTCACTTGCAACATTTGACATGAGTTATCAACCTTTTTTGTTAGCAAACCCACTATATCTCCCTTCTTCAGTAATGGGGCCAGTAGGACGATCAATAACCCTCGACTTAATGATATCCATTAGTCTATCAGATTCTTCCCTGAAAACAGCATAAAAATCAATCATATCCTTCTCAGTTAAACTGAGGGATGAGGGGAAAAATGTCTAGGATTTACGTAAGATGGATTACCCACTAAAAAAAATCAACCCAAAACTTTGTCAACTAAAACCTTGTACATAATGGGATAGTCTACAAAAGTACACGAAGTTATGATGAGGAGGAAAACCAGATATTCCTCAAATTATACCTTCCAAATGTTTCTTGCATGAGAAGCTGCTCAATTACATGCTTAGAGCTGGTTCTTGACAAAGGTTGTTGTTGGTCGTTCACCAGATCTATATTCATCTGCAATGACCCATTCCTCTGACATTAACACATATAAAAAAACTCCAGAAGAATGTAATCACGCTGCACACTAGATACTCTTAGAGTACAGGCAAAATTTCAATTTGGCATGAACCAGAAACAAGAGGCGATTCGTACAGGCAACGAAATAATAGCAGCAGAAAATATAGACTCGTCCAAAACAAGTCAAAAGCTTGGAACTTCCATGGCGCATCAAACTTCTAATTCAACATCAACATCAACATCGGCTTCTAATTAATACATGATAATCAATGCCTATAAACTTGTCTGCAGGGGTTTTTATCGCATTGAATTTGGAAAAAAATCACATGAAAACACCTTTTTATCATCAGAAGGAAAGGGAGTGCAGGTTAGTACCTCATCCATTGTTTCATCTTCAGGAGAATCGGCATTGTTCTCCTCAGCAGCATCAATATCTGACACGCAAGGGCAAGGGAAATCCTGTATTACACTTATATACAAGTCCCAATACATAACCGCCTCGAACTAACCAACTTCATGCTTTACAAAAATATACATTATGCATCTGAGAAGGGGTTTCCAACAAAAAACATTACAATATCCTTCAGAAGCAAGCAATTCAGTAAGAGATTACAACTGTTAGGGGTAAATGATGTAGCCTTTACCATAGAAGAGGAGCACTAAGGTTTGGAAAGTAACCAAGCGAAACAGAACAACACCTCCCGAATACTAAACTAGCATTAAGTTCCATCGAATAAGAGACAAGGAAAGATGAAAGGAAACAGCATGAATAACATTTACATCTCTACAACGCATCGCTGCCAGTCCAAAACGAAATTCGAAATCGAAGTACACAGTAAACGTAGGTTTACATGTACCTGAAGCGGAATCTGTCCATTCCCAAAACAGATGTAAAAAGCGGCCCGACCCAAAGTATAACCATCACAGAAACAAACGACCAGATTCCAGAAACAAAGAAACTATCCATACGTTTACATGTACCTGAAGCGGAATCCCCGTCGGAAGAAGAAGAAGAGGATGCAGAGGAATCAGAAAAGACAACGGAGGAGATTAATTTCCCAGCGCCGGAGGCAATTGCGCGGGCAGGGCTGAAGACAAGCTTGGAGATCCAACTAGGGTTTTGCTCCGGCAGATTCCGCGACGCCGGAGGAGGAGGGCGGTCGTAAGGCGTCCTAGATGCGGCGGAGGAGCGGCGTGGACGTAGTATCTTTCCGCCGGATCGGAGGTTACGAGCTCCACCGTAACTGGAGACGGAATCCATAGAGCCGAAGACGAGAGGAGAGCAGAGGGGAGAGAGGTGGTTGTAGGAATAAGGGAATTCTGGTTATTTGTCGTGTTCCTAATTTTTTCTTTTTTCTTTTTATTATTATTATCATCATTATTTGCTTTTAAAAAATAAAATCAGTTCCTGAAGTAAAGGGCTGCGGTTAATTTTTACGGCTTGCCATAAAATTACTTTTAGGATATAATTGAAAATGTCAAATCTAGGAGGCAATTCATATTTATTTTATGAATAAAAATTGTTTCAACAAATATTTTACTTTACATCATATATATATTTATATATTATTTCTATCTGCTGGAAAATATATATCTTTTCTATTTTCTTTTATTGATATCATCAGTTTTTATAAAAAAAAATCTCATATAAATATATAAAATTTATAAAATATATACCAAATAAATAGCTAAAAGTTTATTTGATTTAATTAATATTTCAAATATTAAAATGTTTTAAATTGATATATCATTCATAAAATGGATGATAATTTTTCAACAATTCTAAATTAGATATTAATTTTTAATAATAAATCGATTATTTTGAATTTTATAAGTTGGGATATTAATTTGAAATATTTTAATATAAAAAAATTAATTTGGAATATTTTAATAATTGAAATATCAAATTTAAAATATTATTACATTTGATAAAATTAAGTTATTTATATAAGATTTTTTTTCATGAAATATAGTATAGAATAGATTGCAGAGGAACCATGAAACTATGTTGTTGTAAAACGGTAAAATGTATTTTTTAACGGTCAAAGCCCGTAAAATTATGAAAGAGCTCTGGGCCCATAAAAAAGTCCATATAATTATAAAATGGGCCTAAGGCCTAATACCATAAGTAAAAATGGGCTCAGTTTCTTACTATTTGGGCCGAGATAAGATCGGCGCCAACATTTTTGACTAGTCGTCGTCGATAAGAAACCTATACGCCTCACGAGCCCTCGCCTCATATATATACAGACACATACACATGTATGTGTATTCATCTCCGAAACCTCTCTAGCGCTTTTTTTTTTCCTGAATCAAAGCCTCGGGGATTTTTTTTATTTGTCTTTGTAGTTGAATCGATAGAGAAAAGGAAGCATCGATGCCGGGATTGACGTGTAACGCGTGTAACCAGGAGTTCAATGGCGATGCGGAGCAGAAGCTCCATTACAAGTCCGATTGGCATCGCTACAATCTCAAGCGCAAGGTGCGAGTTTCCATTTGCTTTTGTTCGTACAGATTTCTGGGTCTTTTTTCTCTTTCTTTTGTCGATTTCTTGGAAGAAATCTCGTTAGGGTATGCATGAAATGAATGTTTGTTCCATTTCTCCGGCGAAAATTTATCGATAATTGATTTGGGAGGAGAGAAAGGGTTTTCTAGGGTTTTGCTTTTGTGTTCGAAATTGAAGCCATGGATATTGAAAATAGCAAAAGAAACAAGCTTTTCTTGGTGGGTTTTATACCCTTGTCGAGATCATAAATTCCGTATACAAGAAAACAATCAAATGATCGAACTTTTTTTTTTAAATTGTCTGTCTGATAAAGATCTTCATGTTGGATGGAAAATGGAACAGGTAGCTGGTGTTCCTGGAGTTACAGAAGCTCTGTTCCTTGCAAGACAATCAGCAATCGTCCAGCAGAAATCATCTGATGAATCCCCCTTGCTATATAGCTGTGGTGTATGTGGTAAAGGCTATAGAAGCTCAAAGGCACACGAGCAGCATCTCAAGTCAAAAGCCCACATCCTTCGAGCTTCACAAGGAGCCAACGATGGCGGCCAGCAAGATTTACCCATAATCAAGCCCCTTCCTCAGCGCCATCCCGAGAAGAAAACCTTTCAAAGGAGGGGAAGGATGGATGAAGAAAGCGAGGAAGAGAGTGAAGAGGAATGGGTAGAGGTTGATTCAGACGAAGAATTGGCCGCCGAGGCTTCTGATTCTTTGAGCAAGTTGAACGTAAACGAGTCTCAAGAAGCCGAAGACATGGAGGAAGAAGAAGACGAGGACGAGATCGATCCATCGAGCTGTTTTATGTGCGACAAAAAGCATAAGACCATAGAGAGATGCATGGTTCATATGCATAAGCAACATGGATTCTTCATTCCCGACATCGAGTATCTGAAAGATCCAGAAGGGTTTCTCACTTACCTCGGTCTTAAGGTATATATATACAAATATGGATATTAGCTTTCGGGTATTAGCCCTTTTTACATTTTTTTCGTAAAATGGGTTTGGTTTTTCTCGAATAGGTCAAGAGGGATTTCATGTGTCTGTACTGCAACGAGCTCTGTCATCCATTCAGCAGCTTGGAAGCTGTCCGAAAACACATGGAAGCAAAGTCTCATTGCAAAGTGCATTATGGTGATGGAGGTGATGACGAAGACACTGAACTCGAAGAGTTTTATGACTATACCAGCAGGTACCCGATTTTTTTTTCTCCTCTCCCGTATCTCTTTATTTTTTTTGGCAAAATCTCAGTCTAATTTCTCCTATTTATTGTTATAACAGCTATGTGGATGAATCGGGTGGGGAGATGGTTGTTTCCGGGGAAACAGATAACACCATAGAGCTTAGCGGCGGGTCTGAGCTCGTGATCACGAAGAGATCCGGGAACAAGATAACAGCTAGGACTCTTGGGTCACGGGAATACTTACGTTACTACAGGCAAAAGCCACGCCCATCTGCAGAAGCAAACGCTAACATCATCGCCTCCCTTGCCTCAAGGTAAGTCATCCATTTATAATACCTTTGAATACTGGAAAAAACATCAAAGAACCTTTAATAAGAAAGCATTGATAAAAACCGTAACAGGTACAAGAGCATGGGGTTGACGACGGTACAGTCGAAGGAGCATATAGTGAGGATGAAGGTACTGAGAGAGATGAACCGAAGAGGCGAGACCATGCGAACCAAACTCGGGATGAAGAGTAACGTCATTAGAAACCTGCCCAAGAATGTCCCTTATTAGCCCCTTTATGTTTTTTCGCAGCTTTCATGGACCCATGTTGTTGTTTGTTGATCTTCTTTCCGACCAGACTCCTCGTGTTGGATTTGGTATTCCACCTGCGCACTACGAACTAAATGCGAACCGAGTTTGAACTCTACAAAAGATCAGAAAGAATCTGATTTCGGATGTAATCTACTCGACTCGATCTGATCGATTTCAATACCCAGAGTGTCTAATCCCTGAAATTCACAAGTCCAAGGTTATTGTAAATGAAAAGAGAGAACAAAGTAGTAGGAAAACTATGGTCAGCTGATTTAACCAGGAAGAGACTTCTGATACACACTGTGCAAAAACATGAGCTAACACTTCATATATATTAATCTTTAAAAGGAAGGGTCCAACCGAAAACAACGAGCTAAAAACTCGACAACATTTTTTCACATGGGAACACTGTCGGTTCTCTGCTTCACTCCAGTTTCCCGTCTGCCTGCGATAACAGAACCAAAAGACGGAACCTAACAGTAAGTAACCGACATGTTCATATTCTTTCTGCAAAACAACTAATAGCAGATGTTTGTGGATTATACATACCTAATTGCCATGGAAGCGGGAGCGACGTCTTCTGGAACTGCAAACAAGAACCCGATGCTTATCAGGCACAGGGCAACAAATTGTATATGTCACAGTTATATTAGGCTGCATCATTGAAGCAATGATCACTGGAAAATGGCACAATATATTACAAACTAGATATACGTATTGCTTAGTTTTTCAGAAGCCTTTGTCAAAAGTGATCAGTGTTTGTTTCATCAAACCCAAAGCCTCGCCACCACAAAAACAAAAACATCTCAAAGAAAGAAGAGGCAAAGTGGTGTGGAATATAAGAATTTACCAAACTGGAAACTAGGGTAATAGTAGATAGGAGCACCACTGACCTGTTGTGTATAGAGCTATTTCTGCTTATAAATTCATCGTCGATCTCATCTACTCTATACTCAGGGAACTCTACCGAGGCTACTGAACTGTCATCAGAATGGGAGTTATCATAACTAGAGCGGCGGCTTCCCCTCCGGCCATCGGTCATTCTTGATCTCCTCCTGTTCCTGGAATTCCTTATATTGTCAAACACTTGGTATAGGATACAAGATGTCCACCAGTTCCCTTCTACGCTGGGAACATCATCAAACTCGTCGCCCGTATCGTCATCATCTCCGTATTCAATCACATAGTCCCCTAAAACCACGCCCCTTGGAACTTCCGAGTGAATTGTGCTCAACACGTCGATTATCTCAGATGACTGCTGGAAATTTTCCCAGTCAAGCTTCCGAGCCGGATCGATTTCCGAGGGACGAGAATCTGGGTGCTCCGACTGAGCATGTTTGCGCAGCTCCATGAAAGTGCCAATAAATTTGCATCCTTCCTCATCACAAGATCGTTTTTTCTCATCCAGATAATTACGAGCCTGATCCACTACAACCCACCCGGTAACTTCTCCTCTACACAAAGGACAAGCTGGTTTGCAACTCTCTTCTAACACCTTTGAACCAGTTTCATCGGGAGTTGAAGGGGAATCCGTACCATAAGCACTGATGAAACGATCCAAACAGTTAGAGTGCAGGTGGTCTGTGTCGCACACAAATGGATGGCATCCCTTTCCATAAGATGAACACTGGAGAAGAACTCCGTTATGCGGAAAATCCAAGCAAATCGGACAAACTACGTCATCCCAAGTTATCTCCAGCGGAAAGTCTTCATCACGTAATGTCATCGGTTGAAACCGCCTTTCACAAGTATGTTCCAGAGCCATAAATAGTGCACTTTTTCTCAAGATTTAAACCCGAAAATCAATGCACCGGCTTATTCCAACTCCAGAAAATTCAAGGCTTTACTTTCGGCAATCAAAGACCAGACGAAAACGCAAAACACAGAAACCAACGGAAAAGATCTTGACCTCCGAAACAGAAATACCTGATGGAGCTGCAAACGCAAATAAACCAGACGGTCAAGAATGTACGCATCTTACTACTCCAAAACATCTATCAAGAAGAAGGCCTCACGAGTGACGACAGAGATCCATTGAAATATATGAACAATACACCTAAAACAAAAACTGAAGTCCCAAGACAATCCAGAAGACTAAGCCAATGTCCTTGCTGTTACATATTTCGTGTCAGAATTCAACCATTTCAATCAGAGATTACGTGAGGTAAACTTACTACACAGTACACAGCACGAAATCACAATCTTCAAGCGTTATACTTCTTCAACAAATGGAAAAAAACAAGGAATATATCACTATTATAAGACACAATCTCAGTCCCTCTTGTGAAAGCTCGAATCAAACGAGAATGAAACAAGATCGCATACTGAGACAGGGATTCAAATTTCGAAATTAAACCATCAGAAACCGACCGCAGACCAAGTCAAATTAAGGGGAAGAGACGCATCAACAAAACCCTAGCAAACGAGAAACCGAACAAACAGCAAATACATAACACCGAATCGTAGTCCAAATCACGCGTTTCTAAGATTCACGAGCAATTCCGATACAACTCGAAAGAAGAAATCCGGCAAACAGAAGCGAAATCGGGATAAGATTGATTGATCGCAACACAAATAAAGGAAAAGGATGATCGGAGAAAGGAGCTCACCTGAACTGAACTGGAAGTTGAAACAGAGAGAGAGAGAGAGAGAGAGAGAGAGAGAGAGAGAGAGAGAGATGAAAAACGGGGGTCAATCTTCGCAGTTGGTAGGGCGTCCTTTTGATCTTCGCACACCTTTCACAATTTCATTCTTCTACTACTGTCTTGTTTTAATATACATACATATATACACACATATATATTCGCATATACATATAGTACATGTTGATGTATATTTTGGAATTTGATTGATTCAAAGCTGTAGATGAAATAGTTTCACTATTTTTGTGTATATTGGGACATGATACATGACCATATAAATTTTGAAACTCGATATATTTTTGCATTTGACAATGTTCATTACTAACAAAAAATCCATAATTTCGTCTGAAATAGTTTTAAACCCATATAAGACCAATCAACCCGTTGACAAAATTTTTATTAAAAAATAATGGTTTTTGCTTGAAAATTTGAACCCAGAGATACAAATTATGCATAGATGTAGATGTGGAAAGAACAAAATTGGAAAAGTCCAAGAGAGAATGAAACAATGTCATTCATTATTTTTATAAATCTCCGAAATCTGTCCTTAAATTGAGATATTATGCAACACTGTCAAGACAATATATTCTATTTGTAATATTTCTTTATTTCCTTTTTATTTTAAATTATCGTAAAATTTGCAGTGATATTTATTAGTCCTTAAAGCTTATATTTTTTAAGTTGAAAATATTTTTCATCCACCGGTGGGTGTTTTCTAATCTAGTTTATTTGTTTGCTCTCTCTCTCTCTCTCTCTCTCTCACTCACACACACGCATATATATATATACACATATATATACAAATATACACATATATATACATATATATATATACATATATATATATATTATACGGTAGGTATTTAAAATGGAAAAAACTACAAATTGAAATTTTCCAAAGTCGTCAAATCCTTTTTCAAGCATTTATGTTGCTTGTAATTCTATCCAATATATTTCCTCAAAAACGCCGATTACTTCTTTCATGTCTTTATCGTGGCATGACTATATATACTTGACAAATATAAAAACTAATTTTTCTGTCTACGTTTTTAAATGCCTTCTATTATATATATATATATATATATAGATAGATATAAAGTTGGACAAGTGGAAGTAGGGGTTGCCCATATATACATACACGTGTTTCATAAGTCAATTTATGTTCATAATCCCTGATTTCACAAAGTCAACCAATTCATCTGAATATGCATACATATATATGTATATATATGAACATCAAGAATATTGCCGTTCTGGAGAGCAAACACGTGATGTCTGCTTAAAGATTACATGTATGTATGAGTAAAAAGAAATACTATTCGCATGTAAATGAACTACGTATATACATATACATATACATATGTATTCTATATTTCCCCTTATATTTGGAAAAAAAATTACCTCTTTCCATTCGAAAGCGCCGAAAAAAACCCCGTAAAAGGATTGTTGTATTCGTTGTTGTCTGAACACTACAGTGACCTGTCTGATAGAACAGAGTTGCTCCATGAAAGCATGAGATCTCTAACCACGTTTGGTAGATCTGCAGAACATTTTTTTTGACATTTACCATAAGACTTGCGAAAGCAAAACACAGACGTAATTTCCGCAGGGCTTTTTAACTATGGGACTTCCTACGCTTTATGGAAGCAGTAACACTCATAAGACATAGGCAGATTTTCAAGGCGGCATTCCCGGTAAAATCTCGGGTTTGAATGATGAAAGAAGAGGGAAATGAAAGGGAAAAAACCGGTTTTTTTCTTACCTCGAACAACTTCAATGGCGACGGAGGGAATATCTATCTCGTCTTCAAGCAATCTGTATACATCCGCAAGCTGTGTGCGATAAAGGACTAAGTTATTAGTTTAGATAGATACCTAAGTGGGAATGCTGATTAAGATTTCTTTAGATATTAGATACCTCTTCTATGTGAAGCTTTGAATCTTCCGTGAGGGCAAGAATGAGCTGCCTGCGGATTCCTTCGTCAAAGAGGAAAAGACGAGCTCCGTCTTTAATGGTATCTGTAAGGTCAAGCTTGTTCTGAATCTGCAAGCTTCTCGAACTCTCCCTGATAATTCCCGACACAGAAACCCAAAGTACTAAAGTTCGGGGCGAATTATTCGGTGAGTTATGTATATAGGTAATTATGCAAAAACGCTTACACTCGCTTTACTTTAAGAGCAGGGTTGCTGCTCATCTTGGCAACGTTTTCCTTCGCCAGGGTTATCAGATTTTCCAACCGTTTCCATTGGAAAACACCGTCTTTGAATAGAACCTGACCCGAAAAAAAGAATGTTCTTTACTGACGGGAATAACAATTGGTTCATCATCCATAAATGATACAATGCTTATGGATTGCCAAATCCACCTGTATCAACCGTTCCCGAAGAGCGGGATTTGGATCTGTTAGGAGGCGCTTTGCCACATACGGATAAGCAACCTAGCCAAAAGATCAAGCCTTTTAGTGTCAATGACTCGAAAGCTTAAGCCTTTTAGCCAAAAACTCGAAACAACTAATAGATTAAATCTGTCCTCACCTCGAGAAATTTGAAGTCAGGTTTGAGCGTGAAACATATACCCTCCTGCGTCAGTAAAGAACGAATAACAAGAGAGAATCTCTCCGGTATACGGATGGGAAAGTTGTACACAAGCTTATTAAACTGGCCTGCAGAGAAAAGAAACTTATGATGAACTGAGAGCACAGTTCTTTGGTATAAATACGGTAAATGTAAAAAGCAAAGGCGTGGTCGTGCATGCATACCTGTAACACTTCTGAAATTAAAATCTGCAAGTCCTTTCCCAGCAGAGTTCTGCCAAATAGCTTCTAAAGCTGGAATGATAGGAGAAACATCGGTTCCTTTGGCCAAGAAACCAAGCCTAGTAAAGTCATTTGCCATCTCCGCATAATCCTCATTAACCGCATGGACCACAGCATCAATCAAGATTTGTTTGTTTTGCTGAGAAGGAAGAGGGAATTAGCTAGTCCATCAACTGGAAAATACTATACAAATAAGAGATCGCTGTCGGGAGATGTACCCTGGTTACTGAACAGTCTTTTTTTACAAGATAATCTGAATTTCAAAGGTGTCTTACCTGACTCAGTACTGCAACATTACCAAAGTCCACATAAGCAATACGCCCATCATGCATTGCAAAGATATTTCCAGGATGTGGATCTCCGTGAAACAATCCGAATTCTAGCAATTGCCTCAGGGCAGCACTCACACCAACAGTCAAGAAACCATCCATATCAATTCCGGCATCCTTGATGGCCTGAGTACAATCATAAGAGTCAACAAAGTGGCCTCCACCGAGAATTTCAGGGAAAGTAGGAGAAATTATATGGCATTGGCACCAGGCTGGAAGTCATACCTGTGGATCAGTGCACCGGATGCCATCAATCCACTCCATCACCAAAACCCGTGAACCAGAGAGGTTTTTGTATACTCGAGGAATTTTGACAGTGGGGTCATCTTTGAAGTTCTCCAAAAAGTCTTCAATGTTTCGGGCTTCCTGAATACAAAGGACCCAAGAGTTAACCAAAAATTCTCCAAGGATATACATACATGTAAAGAGGGCTCAGTATCACAATTTTGGTTCATATAACACAGCATGATCTGAAGATACCAAGGTGTAATCAAGCTCCTCCAAAAGTTTCTCTCCAAATTCATCAACTATCAGCTCCGCATTGCATCCCAATTTCTGTAGACTGATGCCATTTAAGAATGAAGCAAGATTGCGGAAAAGAAACAGATCCCTGTAAATAATGGGCTCTATCTCTGGTCTTTGCACCTGTAAACACATAAACATAAAAATAGGAAGTATATCCGAGTTACACTGTTACAGTGGTCTGACAAGCTATAATAACATAAACATTTCGGATAAAAAAAGAGAGAAACTCTTTAACGTCAGAAGAGTTCCTTCTGGACATCGAAAGACAAAGAATTAAAAGTGCACATGAATTACTTTGATGGCAACATCCTCCCCAGTGGCTCGTAGAGTAGCTCGATAAACTTGACCTAAGCTCGCAGCTGCTATTGTTTCTGACGAAATCTTGCTAAATATGGCCTCTAGAGGTTGGCCTAGTTCTTCCTCTATGATTTGAAAGGCAACCTTAAACAATCATTCACCACTTAGCTTCAGCAAATGATGGCTCGTGACGAAATAAGAAGAAGAATACCTGCTGTAAAGTGTTTTTTTTTTCTCACCTGGTTGGCGAAAGGAGGAACATCATCTTGAAGTATGCAGAGCTCATTCATGTAATCTTCTCGAATAATATCGGGTCTGTTTGCCAGCACCTGTATCCATTTAGAAGATGATCATTTTGAGATGATAACCTGAAGAACCCGCTTAATGGTGCGTCATCTGCAAAGTCCTAGTAATTATAAATATCTACGAACCTGTCCCGCTTTAATAAATGAAGGTCCCAAGTTGCACAACAAATTCCTAAGCTGACGAGCACGGAAAGGGACAACTTCCTCGTCCCTTCCGACCAAGAAATCATACATTAAGGTAGACCAATACAATCCCAGGTTCCAAACGATCTCCACACCCCTTAAGACAAGAGAGAGTATTGCTCCTCTGGATTCCAGTACTTTATTCCTCACCTGAGCACCAACAACAACATCGATGTCCCATTCAAACGCTTCTGCAAAGTGTGCGTAATTTTCACATGGATTCAAGCACAACGATTCTTTCTAAGACTTCGACAAGTAACTACAAGAATATGAATAGTTAAACATTTCGGAAATGGATCAGCAAAATCCAGATGCAAACAAACACAGTCAAATTGGATACAAGTACGAAAAGGGGTTCAAGTTTTAAAACAAAACAAACTACAGAAGCAATCATACTGTCTCCGGAGAATACTTTCGGAACGGCACGCAGACGCCTCGCTCGATATCCAGCTGCTCGAGTGCGCTGCTGGAGTTCCCAACTCGCAGAACTCTCTCCGGCGAACGCGTCGCCGTCACCGCGGCGTCCGTTGAACTACGGCTACCAACCTTGCCACCCCCGCTGTTCGAAGAGACCTCCGGCACCGCCGTGTAAGCAGCGATGCTGGAGTTACGTAGAGCCGACAAGGCCATGCTCCGCCGCGACACGGCGGTGAAGGACACCGGAGCCCGCGACGGAGCTTCATTCCGAACAAGAACAGAACGATTTCTTCTCCGGTGAAGCTGATTGAAAGAGAAATTAGGGTTTAGGAAACGATTGGAATGGATCAACTCCATGGATCAGCAGCGATGTACGGAGAAGATGTAACGAAGACGAGAAGATGGAACAGTTGGAAGAAGGAAATGAGATTCAATATTAATATTTAATTTATCGAAAATGGAATAATTGACTACCAACCACAAAAGATAATAATTTCAGAAACTTTAATTTATATCCTTACGTTTCGTCAAATTAGTGAAAAAGAGAAGCATATTTTATACAATTACATTTTGACCCCTAAAAAGTTATTTTATAGCAAGATTATCATAACTTTTTTCGATTACATTCACATCCTAACCATGAATGAAATAAACAAAAGTAGTCTCCGAATATCTTATATAGGATTTGATTATTGACTCTTCACTTTCGTTGTTATACGAGTTTACACAGTTCATCTCGAAAAAAATTTGATGAAAAAATATCTTTGATGTATCGATAATAATTATATATAAAGTATAATAGTATATTATCAAATAAAACTTTATTCATGTTGTTTAGATCTATAGTTTTTATATGATATTATCATATTTGGATCAGACAAGAATTCCAACTTTCAATATTCCTTGTATTAGTGTATATTAAATACAAGGTAATTAATATTATATTTTATACATTGAGGTATCCATAATAAACTTAAAATGGAGGGGATAAATTGAAATTTTTTCTCTTGTGTTACTCTATATGGATATGTATAAAATATTCAAAATTATTTTATAAATTGGAGGGTTGTGGAAAAGTTGATGGCCACCGATTCCTGCGTTGTTTATGGAAATAATAGTAAAATGTCAATTGCATGATTTTTTTTATAAATAAAATTTTTATGTTTTAAGATAAAATACAATTGCATGAACTTTTATCTATACAAATTCAGTCACATTATTTCAAACAAGATAAAAAGAAATGTTTAACCAAGAATCATATAAAATTCACTTTACAAATTTTAATGCATTCTGTATTCATAAATATATTTTATTTTTGTTTACTTATAAGTTGTGGATAATAAAAAGAGAGAAAAAAGGAAGAAAAAAGAAAGAAAAAGAAACCAAACAACTAAAACAAGCTGAATACTCAAGTTGCGTAGCGCCAAACTGTAGTTTTGAGCCCTAATTTGGCGGGAACCTGAAAAGGAATTGGAGGGAAAATCCCTAAATTATTTCTTCTCTGGAATCATTTTCTTCATATCTTCCCGTGCGACGATTCAGAATCAGATCCAAAAGCCCCTCTCTCTTCCGCGGAATCTCTTCCTCCCAATTTGTTCATCCCGCAAGATTTCGGTGTTGGGTTTCTTCGGAGATGTTTTCCGGTAGCCAATTCGAGCCGAACTCCGCCTTCTCCGGCGGCGGATTCATGTCTTCTCAGCCCTCTCAGGCATATGATTCATCTCCCTCCACCGCAAAGGTTAGTCCTTTACGTATGTCCTCTGCTTCGATATTGGAGGTACCGTTGCAGATCTCAGATCCTTAGTTTCTGGATACCAATTCAGTCTCCTAAGGGTTTTGATTTCTGTGGAGGTGATTGGGTTTTGTTGGGTTTTTTTTATATATTTTGTTTTCCTGAAGTTGAATTTACCCTAGATGGTCAATCTGGATTCTGAAATAGTGTGTTTTGGGAATGCAGAATCGTGAATTTCAGGGGCTTGTACCGGTGACAGTGAAGCAAATAATGGAAGCTTTTCAGTCCGGTGGCGATAAATCGGGACTTGTCATCAATGACATTGCAGTGACAAATGTATGAGTCCTTTTAACTGTTCCATGTATTACTTCGATCTAATGCCCGTTTTCCAGTTTAGTGATTTATGAATTGGAATTTTACATGTTTGTTGTATTAAGTAGACACTTCCTCTCGAATGGTTGAAGTTTGATGTCTGTCTGTCTGTCTATACAGGTTACACTGGTTGGGCTAGTGTTTGAAAAGAATGACACGAAATTCACTGAAGTTAGCTTCGCTCTTGACGACGGAACCGGGAAAATTGACTGTAAAAGATGGTACTTATGTTTAATGTTTATACACTGGAGGAATTATTAGAACACTCTGCCTTGAAAAGCTTAGTTATGACGTGTTTTGTATAGGGTGAATGAAGCTTTTGATACAAGAGAAATGGAGATGGTGAAGTGAGTGTATGACTTCTCATTGATATTTTGTTAGAATGTCAGCTTAAGGTAGGTTCTTACATAGTATGCATGCTTGTTTACAGAGATGGAACGTATGTCCGTCTCAACGGGCATTTGAAGAGCTTTCAGGGGAAGAAGCAGCTTCTAGTTTTTTCTGTGAGGTACTTCTTCATTTTGAAACACTTGTTCAAGTTCCTTCTAGTAAAGATTGTAACTTTATGCCAGTAAGCATTTGCAAGTCTTTAACTTTGTGTTTATGATGTCAGGAAAGACATGTAATCTATCCTCTTGGATACCGATGCTCGTTCTCTTTGTTTTGCAGGCCTATTACAGATTTCAACGAGGTCACTTTTCACTATATCGAGTGTATACACTTTTACTCCCGGAATTCTAAATCACAGGTAAAGCAACGTGGTCATATCCAGGGCTATTGTTGTGTTGTTTGGTTAAACCCTCTTGTTTTTTCAATGTGCTGTCACTATCTGACATGTTCTTTTCATCGGAGCAGCAAGTCGGTAGTGTCACTCAATCCCCAATGGCGAATTCATCTGTTAATGCTACTTTTCAAGGTGGATCAAACACAATTCAAGCAGCTTCATCGAATCATGTATGTCTAAGGTTTCCAAAGCTTTCGACTTTCTTAACTAGGCACGACTTTGTGTGCTTGATACCATAACTGTTCCTCCTTTTAGGTCTCTTCTCAAAACGAAGGGGGTGGCCGAAAGAATCTGGATGAAATGATTCTTGACTATCTAAAGCAGCCATCTTGCACGTGAGCCGTCTTTGGAACTTTCATCGGTATACATTTATTACCTGATGCATCATTCAAGGCTGTCTGGTCATTTGTTTTGGTCTCTTTGCAGTGATCAACAACAGGGGATACACCTGGATGAAATCTCCCAGCAGTTGAAGATTCCCAAGAACAAGCTAGAGTATGTTTTCAATCTCTCTCTCCATCTGGGCTTTATTCCTGTTTCTTCTCTTACCCATTAAACACTTGAATTTTTACAAGTCCTGAATTTTGACAGGAACGTCATTCATTCTCTGGAAAGCGATGGTTTAATATATTCGACCATTGATGAATTCCACTTCAAGCATGTCGAGCTTTGACAAGAAACCCATCTAATTGGGTTTAAAGGGTAGAGTCATTTCCCTCAATTGCTATCAAAGGAATGTAGATACAGTCACATGGTATTTGCTGGTGAATCTAAGGTTTTTTTCAATGTCAGAAACTAGGATCTCAATGAAACTTTCTCTTGTATCTTCTTTTGTTTCTGGTTTCCAGTTCAACAATGTCATCATCTGGTTCTCTTCTCTGTTTGCACTTAGAAAGTCACCTGTTTTCAGCAATATTCATCAGATCTACATACACACGTGTGTATATATATATATGTGTGTGTGCGCGTATTGTGTGTATGTGTATGATATATACCCATCCTTATACGTTGAGATGCTGAGATGATGCAGAAGTGAGCGAGGAAGGAGGGTTTATATTCGAATTCCTTGGGAGGCCGATACTAGATTAATTGGTTCGAAGGAGACGGGAAGTGTGGGAAAAGTGGGGCTAATAGGAAATCGACACGTGTCAGATACATCTGATTGTCACGTGCGCCTCAACATTCCCTTTGGTTATTTCCATCTCCCAAACCTCTGGGGGACCTTCTCTGATTCTCCGACCACACCGAATAATATGATACTAAACGACCTATCAAATTCAAATTCAAAATACATAATTTATGAAATTATTATAACTTATAATTCTTGCATAATGCCTTACAGTACATCCGAACTTGCAGGTTGAAAATTTATTTTATAGATTTAACTTTTTAACTGACTTCACTTTTTGATTCTTCCGACCGCACCGTACACATTCATATCTAGGGAACTAAATACATTTTCGTCAATTAAAACACCCAATAAAAGTCATACTACCGATCAAAATACAATGTCAAAACACGCGGTTATAAAATTATAAATTATTTTATACTTGCGTAGTTCAGTATAATCTAAGGTCCAAACTTATCTTGTAGTTGAAAATTTTATTTTGGAGATTTGACTTTTTACAAACTCCACTTTTTGTTGGAGTAGACACTTTAGATTTTTTTTTGGTGAACTATTTTTATCCCTAGATATATCTATTTGTTTTCAATTACTGCGGAATATTTTATGTTGATTTTAGATTTCCATCAAATGATGGAATATATAATCTAAGAACGATTACCAAAATATCTAATCAAAATTGTATCACACTAAAAAATACAACATTTTTTTACGCCGATTTGCGACTCATCATAATGCTTTTTATTTATCGTCCATCGCAAAATTGAAGACAAATTCATTATTAAAATTGGCGATGGAAATATCGATCATAAATCAAGTCGATTTTTTAGGGGGGTTTTGTAGTGCATTTTGATAGAATTTTGGTGTTGGCACGATATATATATATATATAATATAATTATATAGAGAGAAGCCTTAACCTAGAAGATATGAACAATAGTTTAGAAGCCAAAGCATATATTATATGACAAACTGCTACAATTCCATTAAATCCCGGACCAACAGCTAACACATAAGTAGCTTACAAACCGATACGAAACCAAAAAAAAAACACAAAGGCGAAAAAGAAAAAAAGGGTTTAATTAATTAAACATAAACAAGAAATTCTCGTCTCTATATATATAATATGCAGTACGTACTTCACAGCAACGTCGTTGTACTCAAAGACCATCCCAACCGTTCATTTCAAGAGCTTTGTACGAATCAAACCCATCGCAAATGTTTCATGGAAATGTATCAACGGCTACGATCGTCTTTCCGAAATGAACGGTCGTTGAAGATCTTCGTACGGAAACGTGCATGCGAGTAACTTATATGTATACTTCAGACAAGAATCCCGACACACACACATATATATACATATATACATATACATATGCACGAATATATTTAAATCAGCAAGATAAATATACCCGAACTAGTTTGGCGATGATCATTACACGTCTCGGACGTGGAAGATGTTAGGGTTCTTGACGACGATGTCGTACATGTGGATAGAATTGAACTTGGCGAAATCACGTGGCAGAGAGATCAGATCGATCGATGTTTTCTTGTGGAACTGAATGAGATCGGGATTTTCTCCGCCGTGGTAACGTTCCCATCCCAAACCCACCAAGATTCTGTCAAGAGAACGGTACGATGAAACGATCTCGCCGGTCGGGAGATGAACAAGAAACTTCTTCTTCATTCTCTGTTGTTGACCGCCGGAGGAGGATGATTCCGGCGACTCTCCGGCGCCGGATTGGTTGTAAGGGTTCTCCACCAACCTCATCACTCCGTTCTTGAACACCCACACGCCAGACATGATGATGATGATGATGATGTGTTTTATGGATTTGGATTGTTGAGGAACGACGGGCTTTGCTAGGGTTTCGTATTTGCTCGTTGAGTTCTGTTGGGTTTGTTTGGTGAGGAGAGGGAAACTGCGAGGAGGGGTATATATATGTGTTGGTAAAGGGGCATATATGCATACATAGATAGTGACAAATAATATAATATGTACAAATTATGGAATTCATGAATTTTCCTTAAAGTAAGAATCTGATCTATCAAAGAATTGGAGGCGGGAGGAGGATGGATTTCATTATTGTTTTTTAGATTTCTCTAAATTAGTAGGAATTCCGATTTCAGGAAAAAAAAAAGATCATGTGAAGGTGCGGGCGAGAGAATATAAATATTGTAGGTCCATGATAGAATCTCTTTTGTTTTAACCATTAATAATTATTGCTTTGTGTGTGTGTGGAAGAATCTTTGGTAGGATATCACAAAGTTTTTACAAGATTCTTGCAAGTAGATTAATCATACACAAAATTCACATACGGCAAGAAATCGCATTTCTCAAGTTGATGTAAGACAAGTTAATTATATAATAAATCCCGACCGAAAAATATAATATTCTTTTTATAACATGTTATCTTTATAATTAACCTTTTAAGAAGTAGATTGCATAATGTAAAACCTAACAATACAATAGTTTTTGTTTTTTTTTTTCATTTGATTCAATATTGTTATAAACCAACTAAGTCCAAGAAAAATACAACCAAAATCTCTTTGATTATTGTCGACGCCAAGTCCATTATCTTTTGTTGTTGTTGTCACTCTAACGACTGTGATAGTTCCAATGAAATATATATATATATATATATATATATATATATATATATATATCATGCAAAGATAATCTTAGATTGTTTTTTTTAATATTATTCTAGCGTGATTGGGGATGTAAAAGGAACATTCCGAACTAATAATATTGCCTGTTGCGTTGATGAAATAATTCCAATATAAAATGTTCACTAAATTTATTAGCATATGTTTATGTCAAATTTATTAGCATATGTTTATGTCAAATGTTCACTAATAATATTGCCTGTTACATTGATGAAAGTAAAGTGTTAAATACTTACTGGTTTTTCAACAACTTTTATTTTTTATAATCCGAAAATTCACCGATCTTTGGCTCAACTACATCTCCCATAATACCGGAGAAGTCCAGGTCAATACCTCTCTCCACGCTTAGATTTGAACTCAGGATAAGAACATATTTTGCATGTTCTGTTGCCACTAGGTCACCTAAATTTGGGTTCAACAATAAATTTTAAATAATTAAATATATAGTATCGATTTTAAAAAGAGAAAAAAAAAATGGAGCCATAGGCAGAGGACCGCATCCTTTTAGGGTTTTTTTTTTGGACAAAAGGTTTATATATTCCCTTTAAAAAAAATAAAAGTATAGCTTCGCTTGTTAATTTTGTTTTTATTTTTTTGCATGCATGCATGTAATGTAATGCAGCAACTCAAGGCGTCGCGATCACGTGGTATCACGTGGACTCTACGGTCCTTTGTAATTAGGGCGGGGGCAAGTCTTGAACATTCTACCTTTTATTTTATTTTTTTGGTAAACATCCCGCCTTCCTTTTATTAAAATCATATTACACGAAATGCTAAATGTTTAATTGATGACAATATCTAATTGGAAATGTTTGTTTTACATATAAACGATATAGTTTCTTATAATATTTGAAGCATATTAGCTTCCAATTTCTTTTCACATATTATACTTCGATTTGTTTCCTAATTAATTCTCTCTATTATTATTATGTCAGTTTTAAATATTGTTAAATTTGAAAAAAAAAATAGTTTGTCAAATTTTTAATTTTTTAATATGAAAACTTTCGCTCCTGAATGTTTTAAAGGGTACTGTCCTCCTCCTTTGGGGAAAACACTTGTAAAAATCAAAAGGAGAAGGACCACAGGCATGGCGACTCCAAATATTGTTGTTGCATGTTCTACATATTCTTATTAACCTTTCCGTATGATATACACATATACACACACACATACATACATATATATATATATATATATATACACTTGTTAGGCATATATTGACGCACACATGTATGTCGGCTGAAAATTGATGGAAAATATTTAGCGTCGACCAAAATGGACTCAAGATTCTCCGAGAATGTAAAATTGTCAGTCTTTTAGTTGACATGAAAAAACATTATAACTTGGAATTACATAGATTTGTTATAATTCTAAAACTTATCAATATATCTTTAATTTAATTTGATTTTTTTTATTGTATTGTGATATATATATTTTGTATAGAATTAAATTCTAAAAATTTATATTATTTATTTAAACTCTCTAATGATCAGTAATAATACTAAAAATTATCTTACAATTTGATATGGTATTATAAATCTAGCCAATATTTCTTTAGATTTAAACTTTTATTAACTTCAACAAATAACGGTGGTAGAGAAAGAATATAACGATAATAGACGAATTCCTTACGCATCTCTGATGTGGTCGAATGACTTTTTCAGCGTCAAAAGAGTGTTTTGGAGGTATACCGTTCGATTCCGCATGTGGAGAGGGGAAACGCAATAAAAATGCCTCTTAAAGACTGTTGTCGAAGACCCAGTGAACTTTCCGTTTGACAAAAATAATAAATAAAAAAATTAAAAAATTTCTTTAATTTCTTCCTGAAATTTGGATATATAGAGAGAGAGAGAGAAGCCTCGTGGGACATGGTGCAAAGCCACGACATCAAAAAAATAATTCATAAATTGCTTTCCGGCTTTACAGAACTGAAAAACCACATGGTTTCTCTCTCAGTGTTCATCTTTTTGGTTACCGTTTGAGGTCCCTTCTACGTTGACATTTTTATTATACTTGTATCGCTCTCTCGACCAGCTATTTTTCTTATTTCGAATAATCAAAATTAGCATGTGACAAAAAATATATATATACACACATATATAAGCGTATTATATACATATATAAGTAACAACATATATAATATTTTCCAAATATAACACGAAATAGGGACACAAATTACAACATTAGGTAAAAAAGATGTTATTTGATATAACGATAATAGAATTCGGTTACTTATTTTTTTAGAAATAAAAAATAGAAATAATGAAAAACCATATTTTCAAATACTATATTGAAGTTTAAGATAGAAAAATGTCGATGGATAACCTTTGATAATGCATTGTGTAGAACATCATTTTTGGCATTATAGTAAATTTATACAGATACTTATTTATTTTTTTAAAAAAGAATAAAACCAATTTTATCAAAATTACTAACTAACAGTTTAATTAAGAAACCAAAACTCTTGAGATTATATACAAAACTTATCAATTTTTTAATATTGGTATTGAAAAAAAGTTTGATGGAAAGAGAGAGGTCCTTCACCCATCAATGGTTTCCAAAGCCTTAGATTCTACAGCTTATAACACTTTTCGTCCATGAAGGTGACATTTTATTTGGACTTCACATCACAAAGACTATCATACTATAATGCACTCTCCTTTTAGTCATTGTCATTGTGTTGGACAAATTTCATCTAACAATTTTACCGTAAACGATCCAATATTCCATATATATATATATATATAATCTTACACTTCGTTCACTAAAATTTTCTTACAAATCTTCTCATAAAATTGATTATTATCTGTCCTATCTAAAATTTTCTTGCACATCTTCGCATTCATAAGACGTCCTAAATCTTGCATTTTGTTTTTATTATATTCATGATTCAATGTAATGAGTCGTCGTAACGTTTCTATCATAAGAATAAGAATTCATTTCATATGGGATATGATATTAGGTTTTACATTGATTACCACTTACCACAATCCCGTTCTTTTATTCTTGTTATCAGATTTATCAAATTTGATATAAAGATATAATAGATATAATTTTATTTAAATCTAAAAAAAATAACCAAATAAAAATAAATAAAAACTCTTTCCGATGATGATTATAAATCGAACAACCGAAAAAGAATTCGAAAAAAATAAGAAAATGCTAAAAACAAAATCGAAAAATACTTACAAGAGAGACTTATACATAAGACTATTATTATTTTTTTATTTTTTTTACTTTATTATACAAATAATGTGGAGGATATATTTATAGTCCTATGATTACAACTATTTGTATAAAAATCTTACATTAAAATATTAAAAATCTAAAATTTTCTATAATATTTTATAATTTATTATTATAATTATCTAGATTTTTCGATTGAAAATTCTAGATATTATTCTTAAAAAGCTTATAGAAATTGAAGCAAAATCAATCTTGTATTTCATTGCTCTAACCATTTATTTTTGTAGTGTTGGCATTTGCCAGCTCCATCTCCATCTAAAAAAACTATAAACGGAGCTCTATTTTTTTTTTATAAAATAATGTTTCTAGTGTCATCCAAATATTATATTAACTTTTTAATAGGAAACTCCATTTTATCAATTTTTTTTATCATTCATTCTTTAACTTCTTCGACGTTGCACCATCTTTTGTCGGAGTAATGATATTATTACCGTCGATAATCGCCCATAAGTCTTAATTCTAAGATAAGATTGCATACAATACTTTCAACTCCGATAATTGGATTGAGTCAATACTTTTATACCCTATCCAAAAATTTTATATTTAGAGTGAGTCGAGTTTTCTCGCGATCTAAGATTTGGGCCCTATATCGAATAACTTGAAAAAGAATTTGAAAATTTTAAAAAACTCTAAGAACCAAATTGAAAGAAGATTTAGAAGAAAAGCTTATACTTGAGTTTTTTTTAATTTTTTGCTTGATTACACAAATGAAGGAGGCTGTATTTATATCCCATGATTATAACTATTCATATAAAAATATTTTATGAGTTATAATTTATAATTATCTTGATTTTTTTGTGCGTTTGAAAGTTGTTCTTTCGTATAGAATCAGAAAGTTTTTCTATATATTTTCTCAGATAAGTTTGCACTTTCTGACAGGAATCTTGAGTTTGGCTTTCCCTTAAAGGACTTTGCGTTTTAGGATTTTGTTACCAGTGAAAAGGTAACAAAATATTTTGGGGAGAAAAAAAAAAGAAAGAAAGAAATGATAAAGAATTGAAGAAAAAATAAGCAAGAATCGTTGGAGTGAGTTGTCCATCTTTGTTTTGATTTGGTTAAAATTCGTTGGATAATATTTATTTTTGGTTATTTTTCAAAAAAAAATCAAACTCTTTATTTTATATTAAAAAAAAACAAATTCGTTCACACCATTTTTTTAATTGTTATTTCCAAAATTCAACACCCTAGCTACCAGTGATCCAGCATGAATCGAAATCAACCAAAATATTTAGTCTCTTTTATAAATCAAAGTAAGAAAAATGATCAAATGTTTCATACCCTAAAAAGTCAGAAAACATACTGAATTGCCATAACCATGAGCCAGCCCTAGATTCTATACCCTAACTGCAGATTTCTCATTTAAGGGATAATCTCAGCTTTTTCCATAAACAAATCTCTCTCCACCTCTCAACCTAAGCTGTCCTCTCTTGTCCAAGTGTATACACATACACGCATACATATACATATACATATATATATATATATGAATATATTGTTGATTACAGAAACAACAAATCATTAAAAAAAAAGAGAAAAAATGGATCTAAAGGCGTCACCTTTCCTCCCCCTCGCCATCTTACTCATCCTCTCTTCTACCACCATCTCCGCTCTTAACATTACCAGAGTGCTTGAGAAATTCCCCAACTTCAGCACCATGAACGAGCTCTTCACCGAGACCGGCGTGGCCGCCACCATCAACCAACACCAAACCATAACCGTCCTGGCGGTTGATAACGGCGCCATCGGCTCCATCTCGGCTAGACCAGAGGAGGAACAAAAGAACATCCTCATGACCCATGTGGTTCTTGACTACTTTGACGAGCTCAAGCTCAAGGGCCTAAAGGACAGGAGCAATATGTTCACTACTCTCTACCAGACCACCGGCCTCGGAGAACAACAAAACGGGTTCCTCAACTGCACCAATATCAACGGGACGTTGGCCTTCGGCTCGGCGGTAAAGGGTGCGCCTTTGAACGCTCGGTACGTTACCACCGTTTTCCAGAACCCTTACAACTTGTCAGTGATTCAGATCAGCACGCCCATTGTGGCTCCTGGACTCGGGTCACCGATTCAAGCCCCTCCCCCACCGCCCATTGTGGCTCCTGGACCCGGGTCACCGG